ATTTTCCTTCGTGTTTTAGACAGTACTTAGCTGTTTTTGTTTTGGAATAACATCGACATTGGCGAGTAGCAAAACGAAAATATAATTCAGTGGTAGAGTCATGGAAGTAATAAAAGAAACCCTTTGAAAGAGATGTTTGTCTACTCCAATTCAACTAAACCTCCCGCAAAAAATAGCAATATTTGCCTCTCGGAGACAGCGTACCAGCACAAAGGAACGAGGAAGAAGTGCAAGAAAACAAATCAAGCTGCTATAATTCAGCGACAGTGTTTCATGTACAAACCACATCGCAAACCCTGACCGAAGTCGAAAACAAGCGACATTTCTAAGCAGAGTCCCAGTCCACTGCATCACACCTTTTTGCTCGGACGCGCTCGTTTCACCGCCCAACCTTTATCCGCCCTGGTAGGATACAGGAGACTGCCACTCACTGAATTGACCAATCACAGATCGTGTGCTACTTTGTAATTTGAGCTTATTTTCATAATTATTTTCGTACAAAATTTATTAGTCATGGGATTGTATATTCTGTCAGTCTGAGATCGACGTTCGAGTGTTGGTCGACTCAGAGGCGTTGAATAGAGGTTGAACTCTTCTTCAATAATACTTTAAAAGCCAAATTCTTCATTCTTCTATAAAGTAGTACAGCACACTGACATGGAACGAGAAACAAAAGCCTCTCGGCCTTTCGTCTTCATTCTAAGTGTTGGCGCCATTCAAGTCTTGGGGATTGCTGCAATCGTAATGACAGCCGTGTGGATGGCGAAGTACCTTGGTGGGTTTGCATGGGACGGTTCAAGCCAGGAGTTTAACTATCATCCTTTACTAATGGTTACAAGTATGGTCTTCCTATTCAGCGAAGGTACGATCGAACTAATATATTTAATATTTTAGCAGTATACAATGGCGCTCATTATGCAACACCTGTTTTCAAACAACAAAATTTAACTTAGAGCTAAAAATAATAAGGGCATTCGATTGCTTTCTTAGTATTTTATTTGACTCTTGATCCCAAAATGCTCTGTCATTGTGAAGTGCGGTTCACAAAGCAAGGGAGAAAATGACTGAAACCAAATTTCAAAATCAAATTCGAAAGATCCGATTTTTTTTAAACAACTGGGAGATACGGAAGGACCCGAAATATTTGATTAATTTGTCACCCTGGCTTGTCAAAATCGCCAATCAGTCGACATCCTGACAGAGCGCTATTTCTGCCCTCAGATGTTTGTGCTTACATGTTTAGAAAACCTTCACATATCTTAGGTAACTTTCCAGCTAGTTTCCATTTTTCATCTGCTCCTTCCACAGGGCACCCAGAATCACAAAAGCCTACTGGAAGCCAAATTATAAGGATTTGTATGGGACTTTGTCTAAGATCGATAAAATGGTTACAGTGCGACCTGGAAAAATCAAAATACCCTCGGCAGGGATAGACAGGGGAAAATCAACCGATACAAAACCAGATTCGCAGGGTTGCCTAGGGAAGGCTTTTGCTCATTTTTACAAAGAAGTGGCAGGAGAATTACGGGTCCCTATCGAGGGGATTTTGAATGTCTGGCATGGCTACCAAGCCAAGAACAATGCCATCGGTAGTTCACTGCGAAGAAGAGAGGTTCAACAGAAGCGCTAAGTTCAATTTTTTTCGGTACATTTCTTGTCCTCTTGAGGCCATGGCTTGATGTTTGGAACTAAACTGACATTTTCAAGGAAGAAAAATCTTCAGTCTATGCTCAAGCGTACTGAGTTCGAAATTAACCCCTTGGAAAGTGATTTTTTATCGTCCAATCCCCCTTCCCTCTGGAATTTCCAATTCTCTCTGTGGTGGGGGTATGAATATTTTCAGGAGCCACACAATATTGGTTTTTGAGGTTGAGGTCTCAAAATGGCCTAATTTTTAACCTGAAAGTCGCTAACATCAACTTCCCTTGGGTTCTCAAGCGAAGCTGTGTGGAGAAAAATTGACAATTCCCATCAGCAGAACAACTCTTTTTCTTTCACTAGAAGATAGTTTCAGGGAAATAGTAAGACTCGTCAAACTGAAATAATTCATAAACAAGGAATAGGTTTTCACGATAACGAAAACGTAAGGTTGTCACTCATTTCGACGGTAGTATTTAACATGTAGTATAACTCCAAATTCTCTTCATCCTGTTTAAATCACACATTAGACATTGGGCATTGGCTTGAAAGCATTGGAGTCCGACAAATTTTAGTGAAGCGGGACCGAAATAGCTTATTATTTTAATGGCTGCGAGTTTCCTTGTTTTGTAATGTAACCAAGCAAAATATCTTCTTGTTTCCTTATCCATAGTGAATTACCATTGTCAAGTCCTTTTATCTCCGTAAAAAGTAAGTACTAGAATTCTAGCGCGATGGAGTTTTTCTTCCTCAAAACATATCCATCAAAATGTATAAACCGATAGTTGCGTTACTACTGACGGTGACTTTGTGACTGACATATTGAATGCACGGACTTTCTTCAAACGTACGTTACGTCAATGGCACTCATGAAACAGATCGTAACGTAGAGTTGCGAACTAGTGGAGTTTGGTGTTTCAAAATGGCTAAAATTGACCCAAATTGACTTCTGTTCCTCACTCCTTGATTAGAAAAGCAACTATGAAATGGGAAAACGTACAAGAAGTAAGAAGAAGTAGCACTTAGGGTTCAAATATCTACTTTTGTGTATTCAAAATAATTGGAAGTGTTTACACAATCACCATTGGCCCCTACCATAAAATTTCCTGAATTTCAATGCTGTCTTACAGAGATTTCCTTCACGAAACCAAGCCAATTCCCAGTTGTCTTTTAGATGAATGTCTAAATGTGTGATTTAACTAGAAGGAAGACAATTTGGAGCTATACCACATGTTAAATTTTGCTGTCGAAAATGACTAATAAACTTAAGTTTTTGTTATCGTGAAAACCTAGTCCTCATTTTAAGAATTATTTCAGTTCAACGTGTTTTGCTATTTCCCTAAACGTATCTTCTAGTGAAAGATATAGAGTTGTTATGTTGATGGGAAGTGTCCAAATTTCTCAGTGCGGCTTTGTTTGCGAACATGATGAAAGTTGATGTTAGCGAATTTCAGGTTAAAAATTAGACCATTCTGAGACTCTGAAGCCTAAAACCGGTATTCTAATTTTTCTCGCAAATAAAAGGCCTTTGGTGGGAACAATTTACATCAGGTTTCTTATCTACCTAAAAGCTATTTATGGACAAAAAACGAAATAAATCTTTCAACTCTTGCCACGTAATCAAGATTTTGCTCGATTTTTCCTGACCGTCGCTCTTAAATCTTTAGTGTTGCATGACCTTTTTGGTCACTTTTTATCAAACAAGTTGTTGTTTTCATTTTTATACAAATAAAGCCTTGAGCATCTTTTAAACAATAAATTGAGGCCTGGTAACTGTGCTAACTAGTAGGGTGCAAGAATGGTAGAGCACCATAGCACTTAAACACAGAGGCCATGGGTTCAAATCCCATTGAAGTCCCGAAAAAATTTTTCTGGTTTATTTGCAATTGCTTAAATTGCAATTACCACTGCCAGGATCATATCTTCATTTAAAATTTGTATTTCTGCAGTTCACATTATCTTCTGAAAAAAGCTTTGTTAATGCTTTAGAACATGCCAGAAAGAAACCTCTGCTAGCAGGGTAATGCTAAGATTATAGTTTTCAAAATTTGACTTGTTTGGGTTAAAAGTGACACGGTCCCCTTGACTTCTCTCTTCACTTCTTCTTTCAAATTCTTTTAAAATCAAGGAGGGAAAAGAAATTGACTGATATTACTCATTCGGTCACAGTTTGAAAGGTGTCTCCCCTTGTACAGGTTAGGTGTCAATTTTGTCTGTAACCCTTAAAACTGTTGAATTGGGATCTACTTGGATGGTCAGGGGCTAGCTCAATTGTAAACTGGGTAACAATCAGCCAGTCTCTGCTCCCCGACTAGTTCAGTGGGGAAAGGGCCAGTCTGCCGAGCAGGAGGTCGTGGGTTCAAACTTCATCCAGACCAACAACTAGGGTTTTTAATCCTTTAAGTCCTGAGAGTGATCAGCATCAAATTTCTCTTTGTAATATCAATGCTTTGTAAAACTGAGAGGTCATGGGAATTACGGACTTGATCACACAAGATGAATTTACTTGATATTTGATCAACTTCTCTCCACTACTTCTGTAGGAAATGAATTAGGGCAACAAATGAGAATTTAAATTTTGATCTTAGGGGTTTAAAGGGTTAAATTACTGCTGCTGGTTAATTAACACCTTGTATCAGTTCAAATGATCACATCATTGGGTGGTGACATTAAGCCAGGAGCCTTAATGTCTCCTTGACCCTTCTTTCCTTAGTCAACCCTAACTCAGGGTTCACAAATATGCCAAAATTGTTTAGATGACTCCGGCGAGCTTACAGAGGGAGTCACTTCAACTCGAGAAATTTTCGGTAACAAACAGGGAGCCACTTCGACTCCAGAAATTTTCGGTAACAAACAGAGTTTTGTCTTTACCTTTTTCGCAACAAATACAATTTACGTTAATGTAAACGTTGCAAACCTTAATTAACTCATCAAAATTAAGAAATTATACTGCACGACAAAACAGGAAGAGGGTAAATTACGATCAAAGTTTACTTGTTGACCGCCATCATGGATTTGAGCTTTCCAGGTCAACAGACCGCCACAGCTATTTCATGTATCCCTCACGATAGTGTATACATGCCAGGACCGCGTACTGGAAAGTGTAAAAATGGCTTTTTTCGTTGTGATACTTGACTGCAAATATTCCAAAATGACTCCAAAATTTGTGAAGCAGAAGTCACACTGACTCCACTCATCAATAAAATTTGCAAACCCTGCTCACTACTGGATAAAAAGAGTAGGCAGGAGTTTCCCAGGTGGTGTGGTATACCTTTCACTCATCATTCATCTTGGGCTGGGTGGGGGCAGTTAACTCATAAATGAACTGATAGCAGCTGCTAGTGGCACCCTTGTATGCTGATGTCCAAGCTTACTGTTAACATGGTGATATATAATGTAAAGAGGACACGTCTGTTGTCCTCTCATCCACAACATTTCATTTCATCTCATTCATTTCAGTCAATTAATCAAACGTCTCCTAGTCAGTAGTCTGTAATAGTTGTATTGTACTATTTCTAAATATATTGACATAATTTAGGATTTTCTTGATGTTTGATTTAGGGAAATTCATGAAAAAGAAAGAATGAAAAAATAATAAGTAATGTTATAATAATAAAACTTAATTGTATGATCCCTCTGGAACTGTTTCTGTGTTCTTTTGCTCCTGCTATTTCTTCTTATTTTAACTCATTGTACATATTTTTCAGCCATAATTGTTTACCGAGTCTTCCGGCATGAAAACAAGTTTGTTGTAAAGTTGGTCCATTTTGGTCTGCAGCTGGTTGCCTTTTGTGTTGCTGTTGTTGGTTTGAAAGCAGCCTTTGATTATCACAACGCTAATAATATTAACAACCTCTACAGTTTGCACAGTTGGTGTGGCTTGATTACCATCATTTTGTTTACCACCCAGGTGAGTTTCAGGAGGGTAATGATACATTGGTGCAATGAACTAGCATCCCATTCAGGAGGGGGGAGGGGTGGTAGCAAAACAGTATTAAAAAACCCGTGAGTAATAACCTGCAATTTCAGAGTTCGCTTAAACAGGTTCTTACATAAATTGTAAGCACAAATTTAGGGGGTTCTTAAATGTCGACTTATCTCATTTGTCCAAATGTACAGAATTTTTCATAGGTTTTAGAAAATAAGAACCTGTTTCAAATTTTAAGCTTAACAGGTTCTTGTATCAGGGTTTGCAAATTTTATTGCTGCGTGGAGTCAGTGTGACTTCTGCTTCACAAATTTTGGAGTCATTTTGGAATATTTGGGGTGAAGTATCATAACGAAAAAAGCCATTTTCAGACTTTCCGGCACGTGGTCCAGCATGTATACACTATCGTGAGCGATACACAAAGTAGCTGTGGCGGTCCACTGACCTGCTCAATCCGTGATGGCGGTCATCGAGTAAACTTTGATCGTAATTTACCCTTTTCCTGTTTTAATTTTGATGATTTAATTAAGGTTTACAACGTTTACAATTAACGTTAATTGTATTTGTTGCGAAAAAGGTAAGGACAAAACTGTGTTTGTTACCGAAAATTTCTGGAGTCGAAGTGGCTCCCTGTTTGTTACCAAAAATTTCTTGAGTTGAAGTGACTCCCTCTGTGACCTCAGTGGAGTCATCTGAACAATTTTGGCGTATTTGCGAACCCTGAGTATAAAGGGGCCTGACTGGCAATTTTTAGCCTTTAGAACAGGTTCTTGAAAACCAGGTTCTTGCTCGAGGGTTTTTACAGTATAAGAAATAATATGTGTCATATATCTTGAAATAATTATTATGATTATAGGGAAAATGGTTATTAAGCATGCTAAAATATGGTTGGCTATACCATTTGAAGTTTTGGCAAAACTGTCTTCGTCTGGGATCACAAGAAGCAGAATATATTATAATTTGAAAGGAAGTTTATAACTGTAATTTATGTAAACATAAATTACTGAAACTACATGTAAGGAAGACAAACTGGTATATGTCAGAGCTGTGTATGACCAACATGAACATATTAAGACAAACTTTTAATGCCAATAGTGATGTCAGATCGACAACAGTTTTCCATAGACTCTAATCTTATCAACCATAGAAATGACGTCAAAATGTTCAAAACTCAAGTGGAACCATGAGCTGCAGGTGAGTGGTTTAACTGCAAAGTTTTGAACATTTTGAACATTTATTTGTTGGAACATTTCCATTGAAGTATTTCTTCAAAAATTGCGCAGCATTTAGGAGAAAAACAAATTGCACCATCATCAGGTCATTTCTATTGTCAGCTACTCTTGTCAAACTTAGCTCTTGACCAATCAGTGCATGAAAACTCACTCAGTTTATGGTTAAATGTTATATATTTCCATTTTACTCTTTATACAGCTTGTTTTTGGTTTTGTGAGTTTTCTGTTTCCTACACTGCCTGATGGTCCCCGTGCAACATACCTGTCAGTGCATGTCTTCTTTGGTATATTTATTTTTGCACTTGCTATTGGAACCGTTCTCTTGGGAATCAATGAAAAACTTTTCTTCACAGGGTAAGTCTCCTTCTTTGTTTTTACTGAACCTCTTGTTTAATCTACATAGTTGTACAGGGGTAAGCTAAATGTAGCCTGAGAAAACAGCCGTCATTTGGCGATGTTACCATTGGTTTCCCCACCAAATGACGTCTGAGAAACAAGTGCAGCAATTCCATACTGATGATGCGTCATTACCCAGATCTGGGTAGAGACGCATCATCAGTATGGAATTTCTGCGCTCATTTCCAGGTGTCATTTGGCGGAGAAAACAGTGATAGCATAGGAGACCGTAGGGCTGCTTCTTGCGAATCATTTATGCATACTTTAAGACCATCCAACCCTGTGTTTGGTCTTGCCATGAGTAGCAAAGGAACCCACTCATCTTCTAGTGTATTACGAAGCTGCCGGAACTATAATAACAAAATGTGTAAGACAAAAAGATTCTCAGAATTTGTATCTGTGAAATATTTAGATTTTTTGTCATAAGATAAATGTTAATTATGTGTAATTTGCGTACGATCCTGTTACCCAGCTCTTAGCTGCAAAGGGTTCTGAATAAACAACTCTACTCTACTCTAAATGTCGGCTGTTTTCTCAGGCTACTCAGCTAATGCAGTACTGGAAAGAACATAGTTTTGATAGTTGCCTTAGGTTTCACTAGTCTCCTGTGGCTCGGTGGCAGAGCATCTGGACTAGTAACCCCTAAGGTCATATATTGCAGGTTTAACTCTTATTGGGGGTATACTCAATTTTTTTTCTTCTGAGCCACCTGTGTTACTGAATAAGAAAACATCTTTCTCAATTTTTTTCCTACTTGATATAAGGATGTGTCCTTCCAAACATGTTTGTTAATAGACATTACATTTTGGTTGCTCTTTAATAAACATAAATACATGTAATTTGCATAGAAGCATAATTAAAATAATCAAAAACATATCAACCATATCCAACATTTGGAGTCAGATTGTGGAATCTAAGCTAGATTTGTAGTCCAACGAGTGCCGGACATTGAGGTGCCATAGAATGTGATTCAAACTTGTAACCCTAGGACAGCCTTCTACTGCTTCTGGCATTTTCTTCTCCAAGTTTACGCAATGATCCAGCAAATCTCTTCAGTTCACCAACTGTGAACATATTAAGTTCCTTACAGGCTTTGTACACTAGCACTTGCTCAATCGATCATTTAATGTACTCTGATTCATTTAATTGTTTCGTTTTTTTGCTTGTATTTTTTGTTTGTTTTCACTTTTTTTGTGTGTACCAGTTGTTAGTTGTTTGCGTATGTCAGCATTTAATTAATTAGTGCTTTCGAATATGTTTATAGTTTTTTTTTTTATTTAGTGTTTATCTTTAACTTTATAACATCAAAATTACCTGAGTGAGGTTACCTGCCAGGAAACATTAAATTAAGTTATAAGCATGTGACACCATTGCTTTTTCTCAGAGTATATGCCTCTCTGCCTGCTCAAGCTCAGCTGGGGAATGTACTAGGTCTGACTGTTATTGTTCTTGCTGGAATTGTTGTGTTTGTGGTGACGAATGATGCATTCAAAAGGGTCGACACAGAAGAGGGTGAACGAGTATCCCTGATCAACAATGACAAAGAATGAATCATCAAAATCAATTTAATTGAATAAGTTGACAGTGTTTACTGATGATCTCACTATTAAGATTATCAATTTTAAAGTAAACTTACAGTAAAATTCCGAAAATGAGCCCCGGGGCTTATATTTTTCAAAGGCCCTTTTTGAGGGGCTTATTTTTGGAGTGGCTTATATTCGGAGGGGCTTATCTACGGAGGGAAATTTGCGTTTCATAATCGATTGGGCTAGCCATATAGTTGGAAGCAAATTTATTGTTTTTGCTTTGTTTTACTTTGTATTTGAGGGCAATTTTCCAAGTACAAGCCCCCAGGGGGCTTATATTTGGAGAGGCGATTTAACGGAGCGTTTTTTGCGTTACCGGTTTGGGGGGCTTATATCTGGAGGCGCTTATACGTGGAGGGGCTTATTTTCGGAATTTTACAGTATTTTCAGATGAAAAAGGTACTATCCAAACAACTTACCTGAGAAGTGGTCTGACTCTACATAATGATAATGTAGTCTAGTTATCTTGGGGTAGATTATTATACTTTGTTAGTATTACATTATTTTTAGTTTCATTTAGTACATAGCATTATTAGTTGATATCATGAGAATCACTATTAATAGTTAATATATTGTCATTCCACATTTATTTTTGGGGGGCAAAAATTGGCACCTAAAGAACTTGTCAGAGATATGAAGTTTCTCTTTCTTGATAAATTATATTTTTGTCATAACACCTTTCATTAGTGTAAAAGTAGTCAAGTTACATTAGTTTGTTTAGGTTATGGAAAATAACTGTACAATAATATAGTCTGAAAGCAAGCTCTCCATTTCTAGCGAGTTTGAGTGCCGCTCATGCATGACTCCTAGATTGACTTCCCCAAGTGAAGAGCCTGCTCACAGACTAACAATAAATATTAAATAATGCTGAAACAACTAGTTTACAAATGATTGTTAAGTTTCTAATTCTTAATTACTGAATGTGGTTGATTATGATATGGAAAATTATGCAGATCAAGGACTGAAGGTGTTCACGAACACCTTCCAGTATAACTCTCCATATCATGTAAAAGTTGAATTCAAGAACTATTTTATTAATTCAAAAAGGTTTTCAAGCTCAATTATTCCTTACAGCAGTCAAGCAAGGTCAAGGGTACCCCCAAGATTCCATTTATGTATCAGTTCTTTGAAAAATAAATCCCTTAATTGTTGCCGCAACCAGTATCAAATAATATTAAATTTACTCTGTATTCAGTCAGATTGAAAAATCTTTGCATGCTTTGAAGACTTTTATATCAAATTGAAGAAAACAGAGCTGGTAAAAATTCACGTCTATCTCACATGTGGATTAACTGATCGAATGCAGAGATGAATCTGAAATCTATACCAACGGATTCAACTTTCAAATAATAAATTTATTGATGGAACCTTGGGTGGTAATATCTGAAAAACTTAATTGACATTCATAATAGAAAAATGTCCAAATGTGGTCAGCACTAGCTAGTTATAAAAAATTAGCTGTTGGATTCAATCAGAGAATTCTTATTTAAATGTTGTCATAATATTTCTATTGTCATCAAAAATTATTTGTGACTATGATCTTTAATAGAAATCTTAAAGTAGCCTGTGTCTCTTATTCTCTTTGGTTCATGCAGAGAAGGGTCTGCTTCTTTGAGAAGCAAAGAAAATTAATATGAGATGTCTGCACACAGGTCTTAACATAAATTATAATGGTGAACGTACAAAATTCTATGGTTGGTAACATGTTTCCTTTAGTCAGGTCATGGGATCAAAATTTTGTTGAAGGACTTCATTTAAGGATTACCTACAAGGATAATATTGTATTTTCAGCTGAATTACTTTTTGGAGGTATATCTCAGTCTCTAACGTTGGAGCTTATCTTTTCCTGACCAGCAGAATTATTGGAAAGGGAGGAAGTAATTTAAAACTTGAGAGGTAACCCTAGGTAGCTCATTTTTTTAATAAATGATAACTCAGTGAAGAGAAGTTAAAATCACTTTGTAGGGCACCCATTGTCATACACCAAACCTTTAACTTTGTGCAATCCACCGTTCATCATAAATATAGTTATTTTCAAATTGGTTTATTTATTTAAATTTAGTGACCATCAAATGTAAGCAATAAAAGCAAGGTAACGGGATCAAAACAAAGTAACGGGGTGGGGGAGGTGTGCTATATTATTTATGACTTTTCAAAAAGGGGGCCTTAATGAGGATAAGGGGAAGTTAAAAAGAGGCGCTACAGAACGTCTCTTACTACCAGTGACTATGTTCTAGTCATTAGAAACTATCATGAGAGTGGCCTCCGTCTTGAAGAGTTGCCGTATTTAGTCGAAGGAGCGCCTCAGCGCTAGTCAGATTTCTGGACTATTTTTTGGGGTTTTTTTGCAGCACATATTTTAATTTTGTTAACACAGTGCTATGAATTTTGCTTTCTTTTCCTTTGCTTGCGTGTTGATGAGGGATCAGAGCTGTGACATTAATTTGTTCAATAACTGTTGAGCCATATTAATCAACAGCTTTCCAAGCCAATGAAAACATTGCTAGTCTTCGTAGTTTTGTTTTACAGGAATCAATCAACTTTCGATATTGGGGGCACCTCCTGCAGGACCATGATTTGATGTCTGGAAAAATTAAGGGAGTCGACTCTAACAGCCAATGTTTATTCGGAGTTAATTTTATTACTGACTCAGTATGGGAAGGTGTCCACCAAAGATGAGTTGACTGTATTGAAACTTAGCAGGTTGCTTAAAATAAATATCACTAGTACATGTAGCTATAGGAATTGTTAACCACTGAAGGACTCACCTGTCGGTATTAATTATGATAGTGCCTTGTTATCCATCTGGCCTGAAGGAATATAGCCTGCGAGCAAGCTCTCCTATTTGGGCAGGTGAAACGAGTCTCGCGAAAACGCGCGAGCGAGCGGCGCGTTCTCGCGAGGCTCGCTTTGCTTGCTAAAATAGGAGAGCTTGCTCGCAGGCTGGAAGAAGTATAGGAGATTTGCTGCTCTCAGCTTAACCTGTGTGACAGGTGTTAAAAGGGAGATGGAATAGCGGGGTAAAGGGAACCCTTCCTCTCTCGCGCGAATTCGCTCTTCTTCCTCCTCCGTTGTTAACGCCTGTCACGCAGGCTATACTCAGCTTAACTTTCCGGCCAGAACTTGCACTCATGCCTAGAGCATGCTTTGTGTACTCTTAAAGATGAATAAAGGAAGAAATGGCATGAGATGATTTAAGTTAAGTCTACGTGTGAATCGTACCTGTTTGAGTAAAACTTACTAAGGTTAAACACGCGGCTGATAGGGTTAAATTGCAAAGGAGCTTGCCGGCAAATCATCCCTGATGTTGCACTCTTTTTTTAATATATATATAATAAGAACGTCCATTTTTCGTGGTGAGGCTGGACTATTCTAATTTTCTGGGCAGTTTCAGCCTGGAAATGTGAATACGGATGTTCTTAAATTTCTAGCGGAAATGTGATAACTTCTAAGCAACCTACAGATCTGATGACAGGACACCCGTTGTAGCATTCAGTGTATAGCATCACAAAGTTCAAGCACATGTTAAATACTTCTAAAGCCTCTAGGTCACGCCAACCTAACTCTGAGCCTCATGTATATGTTCTTAGCATGTTCTTAGGGACCCGATCGTTTATTACGCCCTTCGCTTGTAACCTCCTTTATGGTGTCAGTGTTTTACCCTTTTTTGCCGTAAACACTGTACCTTACCGATGACACTAGAGATACAGTAGATGGGTAAAATAAACAACTAATTACTGCATTTTCCTTCGTCTTTATTTACTGAGAATGTCCTGCAGAAAACGCAGGAGATAGCATTTCCGAGACCCCAGGCAGGGAGCCTTCGTCGCGCGAACTTTTCTTCCCCTGCGTGCACCTTCAAAATCTCACGCTACGCTGCTGTGGCTGCTGACTACCGGTATCCAGGAGCCGATTCCTGCCTGCGGTATCTTACAGCTTATGAAATCAACGCCCAAGGATGAAAGAAGAGACTTGGACTAGAAGGGGTTGGGGGCTGCATTTTAAAAAGTGTTATTGCCAAGGAGGCGGCGGGGGGGGGGGAACAATTATCTTATGTATTTTTTTTTTTTGGGGGGGGGGTAAAGTTTTTTTACACCACACTTTTCTTAGCCCCCCCCCCCCCCCCCCCCCCCTCTCCCCCCCCCGGCTCCTTTCTACTTTCTCAATATTCTTTCTATTTTTACATGGTTTCGCTTTTGCGTGTGTTGTGGTATTGTGATGGATGTGTGTTGTGGTGTGTTGGTGTGGTGGGTTTGTTTTGAATAATGGTTTTGTGTGGGGGGGGGGGGGGGGGGGGGGTACAATTGTTTTTTTTTTTTTTTTTTTTTTTGGGGGGGGGTAAAGTTTTTATACACCACACTTTTCTGACCCCCCCCCCTCCCCTCTGAGACGTATTACACGATCGGTCTCTTAATATTTTGGCAAATTTCATGCTGAACGTTCTTATAAAAGAAGGTTCTTTAAAAAAGAGGGTGGAACACATGATCCACAGGAAAATATTAAATAGAATGATTGCCTGATAAAAAGGAAAAAACAAGGTGATATTTATTGACTACAAGTAAACTCAAGAACGACCGTAATTAATTTGTTTTGATTGGAAAAATTATTGGGAAAAACGTTTTGATTATTCTAAGAGGCTGGAGGCAAGCAAGAGATCAGCTACACGGGTGGGTAAATTGCGCTGACCCACAACCCATAGACGGTAAATACAATGGACCACCCACCCTCCCTAGATTGAACTACAAATGGACCAACTATATTATTAAAATGGACTTTCCTAACATAAAATATACACGTGTATATCATTGAAGAGAAAATTTTTTTTGTTTGTTTTTTTTGACATCGTTATCCGCGATTCGTCAGTTGGGACACAGCCAACTTGTTATATTTCCGCTGGTTAAAATACGCACGCAACGCACACTGTGAAGAAGGATTACAGGGGGATTATGACTACTGAGAACATGCGAAAACTTGTAAATGTCATAACAGTTGAATGTACTGCGGGCTATATTTATTGCACAGTGATCTTACGGCCCATCTGTTATTTTTTTTCTCCTCTTTTATGTCGCTCAGAAGTGTTCACAGTTTCTTACTAATGCATCGAAAACACTTTTTAGGCTATTCAGAGTACTGTTAGATCTCTAGAAGTACATTCTAAGCGGTGCTATAAAATTTGTATCTGTTCGTCGTATCTTAAGGCAATGCAACTTGAGTCTCAGTTTCGAAATTACAAGGGCTGCAGTATTATTTTCTCGAAAATTTTAGATGCTATTTGAAGGTTTACGAAAGACTGAAAATTTTCTTATTCCGGCTCTCTCCATCACACTCTCGAATCCTAAACTGATGTAAGGCCGGTTATTTTTCTAAGAAAAAATCGAGAAAAATTGAGTAAAATCGCGAAAAATTAAACTTAAGAAAATCGTGGGGAATTTATCACTGAGATAAGTTTTGAGAATTCAGCATGAATGGGACGGTCATCAGGAAATTTTAGCCTTCCACAGAAGATTAAGGTAATTTTCGCTTCTCTAAACAGGTATTTTACAAAGAACAGTCGTTGGATCCTCCTGCGTTTTATAATAGAAGTCATGTACTTTACGGTGGACGGAACAGAAGAGAGCTAATAAAACTAATTTCCTTTTTCCAAATTTAAAACTGGGGGTCGAGGAATGAAATGAAAGACGATCATCGCAGTCAGTAGAGATGCAACTTTTGCACTTGCAAAAAGAAAGCCAAAATGGATTTATAAGGCATTTATCTCAACCAACTCGATGATCTGCTCCCAGTTTGCTTGTTAGCTCACCTGGTAGAACCGCGCAGCACTGGTATCGCAGAGTTCGAACCCCGTACAAGCCTGAATGCTTTCTTTTCGCAGCTGCAAAAAGTGCGGCCGTAAATGCGATGATTTTCTTTCATTTAATAACAAAACCGTTAGTATATTTTATTTTGATCGGGAGTATTTTTCAGGAGTGGCTTATCATTAGCCTGATAGATGCTCCGTTCTGTATAGGGATCGTGTCTACCTCAAACGTACACATGTCTTCAAGTTCCGAAAAAGTGCATGACGGACATCCAGATGACAATGGACTAAAACACACGTGGTATTCTTCTTCCTTTTTCAATACTTGTCAGGGAAGTTAGTTTTATAGATAGTTCAGTTAGTTTAGGTCATCTAGGAAGCCCACTTGACAGTTCGTTCAGGTCACCATTGTAGTCACGACCGTCCCTCGATAGTCCAATCAGTTGACTTGGGATCTCGGAAAGTACAGACCCCAAATCAACGGCAAGGAAAATGCATGCGGGCAAAAATGTTTTATTTCACGGTTGAAACGTGGTTTAGTAATCAGAATTTCGTGCCATCCATGTCTTGTTCTGTTTATAAAACGAATGACGATCGTGTTTTCCATTAGTTTTGGTTTTGTGGCTGGCGTCTGGCTACTGCTAATGAATTGGGGTCGATCTTAGTTAAAAGGCGGACAATTAAAACAAATACCGCCCGTTTCCCGTAAGGAACACTAGAATATATTATTGAAAAAAATATTTTGCATAACAGAGGATAAACGTAATCTTTCGAAAATTTATGCGATTAGTTTTATGAGCACCTGCTAGTTCCCATAAACTGGACAATACCTACTACCGTAACAGAAAAATCATCCAAAACCAAATTCGTGCAAATTGTTTTTTTCTCGACTGGTATATACCCCGACTGAAAAGAAAAATAGCGGCTCCGAAACAAAACTGAAGGACAGTCGATTGTTGATTTAATCTTTGGTACTCTAAAACGTCTGCAACCGCATAAAGAGCTGCCATGGATTTGCATCAGACATTGAAACCCCAAACACTGTTTTGCATGGAAATATAATCATAATCCTCGCGCGGGTCAATTGGATTATATTGGCCTAAGAAAGTTTTCGGGCGTTTGTGTAATTCAGTGGTAATTTTGAACGCGGAATTAACATCCTCAAGACAAGTTTCTTAAACCTGACTGTTGACGAAGTGTTGAATGATGAGCATTTTTCACATTTAAATGTTGTCTTGTCAAAACAGTTAAATATTGATTGTGATCATAATCGTTAAAAGCTGCGCACTGAGAGAAAAGGTTGCTACAGAAACCGTCGGCCCCAAGATGGCTGTGGTAAACTTTTTGCCGCTCCAACCCGTCATATGAAGTTTTTCCTGTTTTTACTGGTGGAGGAAGAAAAGGGCTCGTGGTAGAGAGCTAATAGTTTATTCATCAGCGGGCGAATTTTTAACAGTAGTCATCGAAAATGAGACATGATCAGACCGGTTTTAAAACCATCTGCGAATCAGATGATTACTAATTTTAACATCGGAGTCCTTTGATCGACGAACATACGCCTATGTCGTCGACTGGTAGCCAGTACAACATTCTGTACTACTCGATGGCAGCGAGTAATTCTCTTCTAACAGGAATTTTGTCAAGGGAGTTATAAATTCAACAATTTCCTCGAGGAAATAATGATTGCAACAGACATAAACACGAATTCAAGCGAGGACACGATGGATGATGGATCGTACATTCAATATCTTCCTATTGAAGCAGCATTTCAAGCCATGTCTTTAATAATTATTATGCTCGTGGCCATAGCCGCAAATACAATGAATATTATTGTGGTGTACAGAAATTCCAACATGCAGACGCCTCGTTATATGTTTATAATGAATTTGGCTGTCGGCGATTTAGGAGTGACACTTCTTTCAATGCCTTTCTCTCTTGTGACATGTATATCTCGACGATGGATCATGAGCGACTCATTATGTCAACTCCATGGTTTCCTCGGCTCGTTTTTTTTCTGTGTGTCGATATTTACGCTTACAATAATGAGTATTGAGCAGTATTATTCTCTTGTCAAGCCTCTATCACGTACAATAACAATTCGTCGGGCGTGGTACATGATTGCCGCTGCATGGATCTTGTCTACCCTTCTGTCCATGGGGCCTGAGGTGGGCTGGGGTCATTTCGCGTACAACTCTAGCACGCTATCTTGCGGGGTGGCCTTTCCGCGATCGACTTTAGAGAAGATGTATCTCTTATTTCTTGTCTTGATAGCATTTGTAATCACGTTGCTAATTATGGCCTATGCTTATATCAGGATTTTATTGACAGTTCGGAAACACACAGACAGAATTGCAAGGTACACCAAAGGAGGGTTGGAGGTGATGAGGCTACAAAGACGAATAACCTACACGTTGCTACTTGTACTGCTCGTGTTTATCTTATGTTGGCTTCCATTTGTTTTCTTGATTGTTCTAGCCACACGAAACACAAGTGTCAAGGAATTGCCATACGGTCTCGGTGTTGCTGCCTACTGGTGTGGCTTTTTTAATTCTTCAGTGAACCCGATTATCTTTGTTATCAGAAACGATCGCTTCCGGGAAGGTTACCGTGAGATTCTTAGCGAGATCTGGTACGGACTGCAATGCAAACGACCGCCGAAAATACGAACACCGCAAATAAAAAACACGTGGTATTTGAACAAACGTTCAGGGAAAGAGGGAGAAACTCCAAAGGTCATGTTAAGAGCTTTTCCTTCTCTTTCCCCTGTACCAGATGTAGAATTAATGTCCGATCATGGTGATCAAGACGAAAACGGAATTGAAGAACTTATTACAAGATAGGTCTTACAAGAGATAAGAACTTATACCGGGTAAAGGGCTCCTACATCCGGTCCACCCCTGCTCCATTCTTATTGCAAACAGCGCGGGTAAATTCACAGTCTCCCTCGCAATCGTTGTTAGTGTGGTCACGCAACGCTCCTCGAGCTCCTCAGACTCCTACTGCGAGGGAGACTAGTAAATTTAAGGCAAGAAGAATTCGTGATAATTGCGAGAATTTCGCTACTTTGGAGTGTGAAATTGGAAAATGTGAAAGGCTTAAAATTGCGCAATGATGAAGTGAAGTTACTAAGAAATCGATCCACGAATAGGCTCCTCCCCAAAAATACTAACGGGGGTTCTCGCCGTACCTACAACACCCGGTTTTCTGGGTATGCACAATACAGGAGAGTGCCGGTTCCCCCGTCCCCTTGCAGTGTTGTTAAGAAGCGCAGTTTGACAAAGCCTGGTCGATTTTCAACTTGTAAATGGGGAGGCGGGGAAATTGATCAATGATACCAAGTAGAACTCCCAACTCCCAACTATTTTTTCCTGGATTGTTGTGGGTTGCTAAAATCTAAAACAGCCGTCATTAAAATCGTTGTTTTGGTACCCTATTTTTAAGTCGAATGATGACTCGACGATAGTGAATATTTTAGAATTGGCCCCTCTTAGAAAAATGAAAATGAGAATTAATTGGAAGCGTGCCCAAAAAATGGTAAGAAAACGGATAACTCAGGTGAGTTAAAACTGACACTCACAAAAAGACAACAAAATGGCGCCAAGTTTTCGACCACAATCCTCAATTCAGACGCAGGCTTTGTGCAAAACTGATTAACGCCCTTACGATTTTTACTCTTGCTCGTTAATGCCGTGGAAAAACGTCTGCGCTGGGCTTACTAGTTAACAGGATATTCTTACTTTTTGTTAAAATTGTTTCCGGCGCTGCCGAAGCTGGCATCTAAATAGATTAAACATTAAACATCTAAACTGATTAAAGCCGTTACGTTTTTTACACTTGCTCGTGCCGTGGAAAAACGTCTGCGCTGGGCTCACTAGTTAACAGGATATTCTTACTTTTTGTTAAAATTGTTTCCGGCGCTGCCGAAGCTGGCATCTAAATGGCTTCATCGCTACTTAGTCTGCTATTTTCGATATGTTTTTGCCAGTTTTAAACAACCTAAGCGAGATGATTAACATGCATGATAATCTTTGTTGAACAAAGGAGATCTTAGTGAACGCAGGCCGGATCAGCGTTAAGTAGTCTTATAAGAGGATTATCACAACTGGATATAAAATTTTTAAGTGCGGAGCGATGTCAAAATTACGGGCGGAATTAAAAGAATATAAAAGTTTTTGAATTGTTAATTACCTACAGGAGAACGATGGCTTAATAAGGCACCACTAAGTTCTCTGAACGTAATGGTAAAATAAAAATACGTGGAAATGAGTGAGAACTTCAAGGTGTCGTGTTTGTATACGTAGTTGTTGAGAAAGCCAGGATGTCGATTCCTTGGTTGAGAACACCCAATCAGGAATCAGGGACCAAATCGGAGAAGGGTTGTTACCACAGGCAGACCACCCTCTGTTAGTGGGGGCTGTTGTTGATTTAAATCTGAGCAACGATCTTTTGTTATTTATAGAAGAAATACATATGAACAATACGGTGGCTATAATTTGTTCTAAAATGCAGAATTTAAGGCAAATTTTTCAATAAAAGTTTGAAGAAAATCCTAGCTGAGTCATGTGTCATGTTTTTTTCGCCGTCCCGTGCTGTTTTAAGCGCTATTTTGCGAGTTCTAACCGCCGAGGTCAAATATTCATCTCGCAAAATAGCGCTTAAAACAGCACGGGACCGCGAAAAAAACATGACACATGACTCAGCTAGGATTTTCTTCAAACTTTTATTGAAAAATTTGCTTTAAATTCTGCATTTTGGAACAAATTATAGCCACCGTATTGTTCATATGTATTTCTTCTATAGATCGTTGCTCAGATTTCAATCAACAACGGCCCCCACTAACAGAGGTTGGTCTGCCTGTGGTTGTTACCAATAAGAAACCAAAAAAATACGTGACAAGTGGCATGGTGACTACCCCTTACCCGCTCTGGTGGCTACAGTGGACCCGGGGGGATACGCAGCAAAGTTTTATACGGGGAGAGTCTGCCCCGAGTTACCCTTTTTATATACCCTTTTCAACAGGATACCCCTTTCCATTGCCTTTTGTATACCTTCTATGGACAAATGTTGCCCCTTTCACATACCTACATCCCTTTGAATTGCTGTAAACGCCACCAGTTTGACGCGTCGTCTCATCATTTGTGATATCCTGCTGGTGGCAGATGCTTAAGCAACAACGACGGGGCCGCGGCAACAAGAACGTCAAAATAGCAACGGGCCGGTATAATGCTAGCCTCCCACGCAGGCATTTTTAGGGGAGCTCGTTTTTTATCCCTCTTGTGGGGAGGAATGAAAAACGAGCTCCCCTAAAAACGCCTGCGTGGGAGGCTAGTATAACGCGCGAAACCACAACTCTTCCCGAGCGTCACACATTTTGATACATTTCTTTGCTGTCACTGCTGGACCACAACGATAAATTTTCCTAATTTCAAGGTTTATCAAGAACAGTGGGGTGAAACATAAAGCAACGATTTTTTTCTTTCTGAGCTTGGTTACGTTCTATAAAAATCCAACTCCAGAGAAATTTCCTACATTTGACACAATTAACGGGAGGTTCAAGGTCTATCGATAACGGCGGAGTGAAACCTAAGGCGACGATTTTCTTTTTCTCTTTCTGAGCTTGGTTGCGTTCCATAAGAGGGTGAATTCCCCCATAAACCCCCTAATACGTACTCACGGGATAAGCTTACAAATACGGTAAAGATCAGAAAAAATAGGCCTTTATATTTTTTAAACAATCAACATCATTTATGCGTAAAAATACAACGATACAAGCGACAATGCCAATGATAGATAAATTCTCTGTCTTTTGGTAAAAATAATTTGATAAAAATCATTTCATATTTCTATAAATAGTGATGAATCCATAAAACTTCTGCGTATAAACCTGTATGATTCTAATCATTAAGGACTAACTGAACTTGAATCTCAGGTCCTCTTTATAGAGAGAATACTATTATAGGTAATTGATACTGATAAAGATTAATGCAAATATTTAATAAACTACACAATACTCATTTTTATTTAAATAAATAAATAGCATTTCAAATAAAATGGCAGAAATCAAGTTTCTATATCGCCATTGAAAAATTTAATTGCATGCCTCCGAGACGTCTATTTAGCTAGGTACTCCGTGACAATTAATATCGTTTATAGATTTGATTAGGCCATGACCATCAGGTGCTATTTTTTTACCCAGCGCCCAACAGATTCATTTTTTTATTAGAAAATGGAATCATTAACAAGGAAGATCAGAATTTGCCTTAAATAACGGAAAAATCCTTGCTTACTTGAAAAGAAACGCAGATTAACTCTGACTCTTTTTTAAAATGAACTAAGTTATTTACTTTTAATCTTTACCATTTATGGAAGGCTACGCGCAAACGCCTTTGTTCACATGAGCTGGACTTAATTAAGAGTAAGTTGAGGTAGACCTAAATTAAATAAAGAAGGCCTGTTTGGACGTAATACAGCAGTTAATTCAACATGCAATTCAAAATGCCACCGAAACGGTCTTTTTTACTCCGCCACTTTTCAAGACAAATTGAAATTTAGTTTGGCTCTTGTTTTTTTAGTTTGGCTGATTGTCTTTAGATCGGATCGACCGTAAAAATTAGCTGCACCTAAAAAGGACCAACGCCGCACTTCACATGAGCTGAGCTGAATTAACTAAGTTAATTTACCATTATTTATTTATTTATAATTTATCAAAGGCAGGGAGGGCTTTCCCACCATTTACAGCTTTTATTTGTTTCGTCGCCCTTCAGTTTACTTCACTCAGGCCTGAACCGATCCCAAGTTTTCCTGCGGTTCATCCTTTTTAGTTCGCTGATATTATGAAGAGTCCGATATAACAGCTTTGAACAGTTCTGGTCCTGCTTTCAGAACGTGGCCACAAATCTCGTTACATCAACACCAATGTAGTCGCGTTCACACTTACTTTACGATGTTGAATTATTAGTTAGGGGATGCTGTGGGGTTAGTTTAGGAATTGGGTTGATGACGTTAGCAAATGACTGATAGGTGCCAACGAACAACACTAAAAATCCAGTCAACATTAGGCCCCAGGCCGCCACTTGTTTCAGGTCAGGCCGCTCCGGGTGAATGCGCACGCGCAGATAAAAAGCTGGTGGTAGGATGTAAATCATGATGGTGCTACCAATGGCGCCAACAAATCCCCACACCATAGCAACCTGCGATAAATAAATGAACACAAGCTTATAGCATTTGTATTACATCGAGTGTCAGTCAAAAGGCAGCACAAAGGGAACGCGGGATAGGGGAAGGGGGGATGGGGGGGATGGTGGGGGGGGGGGGGGGGGGGGGGGGGGGGGGTGGAAGGCATAAAAAGAGGGAGGGGTGGGGTTCAAGGGAATTACAAAACGCAAAAGCAGGAGCTCAAACCCGGAGCGAGTAACTTCCATGTACACGTGTTCTTGTCCAAGCGTTTTCATCGAAACATGGTTAAGTTTAACCCAGGATTAAGCGAAATTTAAGCAAGGTTTTCTTGTCTAAGAACATGTAGCTCGAGTTTACAAAATACAGTTGTGCCTTTACTTCGAAAAAGAGAAATGATAACACAAATTATTCTCTAGGCAATGTATAGGAAGGTAAATACAAAAAGTGGAACAAAATTTTAATCCTGGATAAGTGCTAAACGGACTTTCAGGAACCGGGCCCAGTACAGTTTTAGAACGTACTTGACTCAAATTTCAAATAACCTGTTTAAGTGCCACAAACCAGCCAGCAAAACGTACAGACATCAAAGTGGTATTTTTTACCTTTTCATTTTTCTTTTTCACACCTTATACTTCGACTGCGCTCATAGGCTTTTATGGGAAAAAAGCTCTAAGCCGGTCCGTGAAAACGCCGCGAAATAAGGCCTGGTATGGGAGTTGCTCGTTCTTGGTTAGGGGCTTCTGGCTAAAGGGAATTATATTGTTTTATGGTATAAGCGCTTTAGAAGATCTCATAACTATTGATAACGAAGGAACGAATCAACTGACCTGTGGGATGTAATACGCCAGGATATATCCAAGAAACACTAAAAGTCCAGTCTCCACCAGCCACGTGACCCTTGAGGGGCCTGTACCTGTTGCGTTACTGAAGTATTCTAGCGAGCGTGACGTCGTGGAAGGCTGAGATTGAAGAAGGGTCTTGGTCTCTATTCGCCAAATCAACTGTTTGAAAAGAATAAAATCATTAACTGCCTTCTATAAAATTATTGTCTAATAAAAAACTGAACTGACATTAAAATAAAATTATCATCCACTGCGGCACGCCCTCGCCCTTGCCAGTAGTTTGTTTTCTTGCATTTTCTCCACCCCTTGTGTTTCGCCAATTCGTGTCTCTTTCTCTCGTTTTAAATCAGCTGATTTAAATTACATTTTCTCGTTATTTATTGTTTATTTTTGCTGCGTTTAGCGTCCGCTGTATGTCTTCCCTCGTTAGCATGTGCTATACTAGCTCAAAACACCTCAATGTAATTGTAATTCTGGGGCTAAGGCAGAGGGACAGTTTTAGTCAGGCAAAAAATTATAAAATGTGAAGGTTTTGTAGCGTGATAAAGTCCTAAGAGCGTCTGCGTGGGAGGCCATGACAAGCCCCGAAAAAGAGAGATCCCATAACAAAAGAAGTAACGGCCGAGTTTTATTCTGTGCCGTGTGGTTCCCTGTAGTTAAAGTTTTTCTATCTGCTCAGTTCCTAGGCGCTCTCCTCCTTTTAAAAGCGAGCGAGCGCGTCATTCGCGCTAGAGACTGAGAAACGGTTGCGTCTACCGATGAAGGGCGAAGCCTAGCCTTTTCAAGACTCCGAGATAGTCGAGTCCGCTGAATTGAGAAAGCGCAAACACGAAATTAAAACGGGAGGACACTTTTCCCGCCCCGCCAACTTTTCGCGTGCCCTTTTCTTTCGTTGTCTTCCCCACTATCTCAGAGCCTGGAACAGGCTAGGCGAAGCCTGAATTGTGAGCACAAAGTAAAAAAAGCAACGCCTTGGTATCGGGCTTCTCATATTCAGCAGTATTAATTTTCCATACCCTGTTAATGACGGCTCTGCACGGAAAGATGAGCAGTGGAAAACTAAGCAGAAGCGTACATGCGAGAGCCACTCGACCAATGTTAACAAGTACGTCATCATGGCGGTAGTTCTTTGTAATGTCCTGGTCGATGAATTGTCTGAACTGAAAAAGAACACCACTGTTAATGCTGGCCAAAAACAGGGAATAGTTTTGAAATCGGGGTTTTCTAAGGCTTGCGTCAATATCTTAACTTCAAATAGTCTTTGCTGTTTAATATCCAGCCCTCAACAACCAGTTTGATACAATGCTCCAACTGCTTCAAGTCTTCCACAGGACATTTACAAGGCTGCGGTAAAGCACAGAAAAATTTTCGGAATGTGCACATATGTATATGCCATACCAGCCTTCCTTTCACTGATTACTTTACTGAAGGTATGTCATATGGGACCTTTTCCCGCACAAGAGTGTCTTCTACATTTTTTGTATTTCAGGTAAGAAGAACAGTCACCAAGGATTTTTTTGGTTCTTTTTTTGTTTCTCTATTTAAAAAGGCCATTCATTGGACCTAGAAATAGTTAGAAAACCTATCAAATGGGTTAAAGACCCTAAAAAAGCATGTGACCTTATCTTAATGAGATTCCACCGCCTTATATTCATGAGATGAGGACAAAAGGCAAGGAGAGCAGACGTCAATTGCGTTAATGTATTCTTCCACAAAGTAATGAATAATTAATTATTCATTATAATTATTATTCTGCCACATTTTATGCATGAGATAAAGACAATAGTCATCAGGGCTAATGTATTCCCTCTCAAATCAACATCTACCCCTCCCCTAAGCCAACATTTTGCCCTGAATGAGAAGTAAGTGTTAATGTTAGCTTAGGGGAGGGGTAGGTGGGCATTTTCCCTGAAACCTTAAACCTTGATCTTAACAAGACGCCCTCTCAGTAAAGAAGTATTAAAGCAGTCCAGGCTTCCATACTACTTTTGATCTCACCTGGAAAAATCCAAAGAAACTGACAAGAACATTCAGAATATAGTTGATTGCCATTGCTGTATAGAGAACAATCCTCTTGTTTGCTCTTGTTTGGTATTGCAGCTCACCATGCATAGGAAGGATGTTAAAATGACATGAAAAAGTCAGTCCGGAGATAGCAATTGCAGTAAGGAAACCACCAAAGTCTGTAGGCCACCACTGCACAGGGTTCTTAGGATTATCCACAGGGCCACCAATGTCATTTTTTATTGATTTAAAAATGACAACACAGGCGAGGAACACCACACACAAAACACTGCAAGATAAAACTGCTAATTATCATTCACTCTTGGGGGATGCTTGAGTTAACTAAGGAAAGGGCTCTGCTCTGCAGTCGTTCCTATCATCTGTCTCTCACGCTTCTCACGTCTTGTTCCGTGCTCCCCATTAACCCTTACGAAAGCCTATGGAGGAGGAAGTTTCATGTAGTAGAATAGGTGGGTGATCTGATTGTGTGTTGGCAGAAAAACTATCACATGAAAAAGCAACAAACAACCAGAACCTATAAAAGATGTTATGATCATCAAGAGATGAACTTAGGACAGAAACATCATGGGTCCCTAACAGGAATTAAACCAGTTGAATGACCTGCCACATCCCAGGCACGCACTCAACGTCCCTGTTAGCAGAGTTGACTTTCTGTTTATTATCGGCGAGAGAATACTTTCTTCTGCCCATGATAAAAAGAAGGTAGAGTAGGTCTGCTAGCAGGGTAGCACTTGATCCATTGAGCTACAAAAAATTCATCAAGAGTATGGCCATTTACTAGATTCATATGTTGCATGCATCCAGCATACATGATGAATTATTATATGGGTTGAGTTTATTGTTTATTGTTCTCCCTTGCTCTCAGAGGTTTTTCTCAGGGTACTCCGGTTTTCCCATCTCCTCAAAAGCCAACATTACCAAATTCCATATTTGACAAGGAAAGGTACACTGAGAACCACTACGTGGATAATGTATTTACTTATTCATTTAATAAACTTTCTCTTATTAAACCACACACCTTTCTTTCAGAAAACCCTTCACTTAGAATACATTAGACCATGTAAAGTTATTGTGGAGATACGTGGTTTGATGTTGTTGTTGTTGCCTCTCGGTCCAAGATGGACATTAAGTGTCAGTCTCTGCATTCATGTCTGTCTTAGAGAGTTAACTGTACCCTGTATATGATTTCCTATTGCCACTGTACTGGTATCACAAAAAAATTACATCATTATCAATACCTGAGAACAGATGTGAATCTGAGTGCATTCAAACTCTTCAGTAATGTAATTGGGAAGATAATTAGCATTGGTATAGTCAGAATTACAATCTTCTTTGACCAGAAAGAATGATGACCAACAAGCAACACAATAATTGGCTCAATCTAAAAATATGAATTATGGCAGAACCATGTCAAAAGCAAAGTATTACAAGAACGACCCAATAATAAGCATACACCCTTTATAAAGTACACGCATGTGTCAGTACATGCATGTCCTGCACTATCTCTACCAGAAAAAACGGCTTTGATAGGGTTGTTTATCTTTTGTCTCATGATACATGTAGTTACTTTGTTATTGATTTAAAATTTTTAACTTCTTTCTACTGGTAGAAATTGATCCGAGGCATTAGAGAGGCCACTGCCTGATGAAGACCAGCAATAAGAATAATAATAAAGAGAAACAATACACAAGCATTGGTGGGTCTATGGGAGTGGTCAGTGAGGATCAAGGCCCCTCCCTATTCATAGCCCAGACTGAAACAGAGAATAGGACTTGGAAAAAAATCTTTTAATTAATTTGCTTAGGTACTGGTTGAGCAGACCCCTACTCAGACTTGAACATCTGAATTTGCCACTGCCTTTTGAGGACAATAATATTTGTTATTATAAAGATCTGACAAAGACCCGTCTTTGACAAGATTCTAAAACAAAACTGACGTCTTCTAAAATTTTAACAATTATGAAAAAGTACGGTATCTTTTTAATAATACTGATTGATATAGTTATTATATTAAGAGAAGAAAAAAAATATATAAAAATTGGCTTTAAAAATGGATTGATTTGTTGTTTCCTAAAAAAATAAGTAGATCTAATTTTCCTTTTGTATTTCCTTTATGTTTGGTAAAATCATGTATAAATGGAAATACCAAAATAAAGTGGTTATTGTTACATTTTTAGTGACAACAAAATCTTTTCCAGTCCCTGTACAAGGCACAATTTGAAGGTTGCCCCTTCTTACCTGGTCTGTTATCAGAATCCAGTAGGCAACTGAACACAGGAACAATGTTACGATGAAGACAACTTGTGTAAGAATCTGATGAAAGAAAAAAGCTCTAAAACAAGTGCACTACCCCACTACCAGTAAATACATTGAATTTAACCAAACACAAAACAAAACAATGCATGAAATCACCTGGCTCATCTTCCTGGCCTTAAAGTTAAATCCCTTTGGTGCAGTAGAAGATGGCAAGTGCAAATAATAGCTATTCTGATCTTCTGCCTCAAAAATCCTGCCTTAGACCTTAATCATACAGAGGCCCTGCCAGGGGTGGGGGCGGGGGGACCCATGTCTCTTGTCTGGATTTTAAAACGTCTCGTGTTGGTGTTTATAAATTCTTCACGTCCCTGTTGGAAATTGAATGAAAATTCTTTGTCTTTGTCACAATCTTAGAAAAGGGCGATAACAATGTGTGGTAAAGAAACTATTACAGTTCTGCAATTTCTCAGTTAACATTTTGAGCATCGAACACCTATACATTGCCATTCACAATTAACACAATTTCACAGGAGGGTCCACTGAAGCTTACTGACAAGAGATGTTCTTTGAAGCGCAAGGAAAATTGATTAAAATTACTTCTTCTTAGCATTCAGACTGGTGATAAATCAGCCAAACCACCGTTCTTTGTCGCTTATTCTCGGCTTCGCTGTCACTGTCGCAATTTGGCCTAGGGAGGTTGTCTGTTGTCACGATTTCATTTTACACTCTCTTGCTACTTTTTGGGTCATGTCGCTTGTCGCAATTTATCCTGGCACGGCCTCCATACAGTCATACAAGGGGACAATAATGACACATCTAAACCAAATGTAATGTCAGTAAAATACAAAATTAATGTAATAGAATGTGGTTGTTTCACCCTGTGTGCATGTAATTTACTTTACAAACATTACACAGCTTAAGTAACAAGAACATCGATGGCCCAGAAGTCATGAATAGCAACCGGAAATTTGATGTCTTGCTTGATGGAAAGGTTCTGTTTCACACAATGAAACTGAATGCCTTTGTTTTAACTCCCACTGCACAAATTGAACGGGTCAGTGCACAAAAAGAGCAAAAATATCAACTTCTGGTTGCCATTTTTGATGTCTGGTACATCAACTTCTGGTTGCAATTTTTGATGTCTGGTACATCAACGTTGTCATTGCTTAAGGTCCTCTATAATTCTCTGTCATACACACCTTGCCCTTATTTCCGAATGCTACGTTAGCCACATCCTCTACATTCTTGATTTTCCCTTGACAATATCTCTTGCTGTTAATGATTAAAAATGCTCCATGTGTGGAGGCCATTAATACACAAAGTAAAATCACAGATGTCAAGATAAATCCTCCTTGTTGAAATGCAAATGGTAACGACAGGATTCCTCCTCCAACCATAGTTGATACCAGAGTAAATATTGACGAGAAAACAGTTCCGGTTCTCTCATGATCATCACTACGATGAATAACATGGATAACAAGTGGGGTGGACTCTGTCACAACAGTATTTTCCGCCGTGTTTTCTTCTTCCACTTGTGAACTGAGCTCACTAGAGGTATAAGACAGCTGAGATAAGCAAACTTACGAATAACATCTAAAGCTCAGATTCAAGTCTTATTTAAAAAAGTGTTAGTAGAGAGCACTATATGTAATTCTGTTCCTCCTTAACATAACTCTGTTTGAACTCTTGCTTATAAAAACCAATCCGAAAAGGCAGCCAATTTTTTCTGCTTTTTGAAAGTGTTAGTTTAAGGGAGCTTTGACTGGACTTGAAAGCTGCAGGTGCCCCATTATTATTAAAGACCTTTACATTTGAGGACGAGGAGAACTATGAGTACGAGATTTGACCCAAAGTTTTGTTGCATTCTCAAAATGTTGACTTCCCGGAAAGCTTCATTTTACCATATTTCACTAGAAAAGTTAGCACAGTTATCTTTAGTGAAGGAGGTTAAGTGCTTTCCTGATTGCAAAATGATAAAATTACTAACATTTGATATCTTGTTTTTTCCAGCACAACATTCTCACTAAAACTTGCAGTAGTAGAATGACCATGGCTACCACCTTATCCCGCCAAAAAACGATGCTGGTTCTCGTGCGAGCACTACGTAGTATTGAGAAAATCTTGTACTTGTAGTCGTACTCGTCTTAAGAATCTGAATCACCCTTTACCTTCCTGTTAAACTTTGATTGTTTCTCAGTGTATACTTTTTTTCACGGGAGGAAGAGTCTATTAAACAGGAGGTGTTTATTCCCGGCGTAGTCAGTTGAACATTTGGTAATCAAGCTCAATTGAACTCCAAGCATGTGATTGACTATGACTGCGTTCAGTAATCAAACACAATCAAACTTACCTAAAACTTTTGCCAATCAAACACATTTATCAAATGTCTGGAAATCAACCACTTTAACAATCAAACATAATCAAATGTTTGAAAATTGAAGTTTCAACAATCATACATAAAACCAGTTTCATGTGGTTTCAAACATAAACTGACCTGCGTCAACAAATAAACTACTCAGCTGTATGTATAAGTATGTTGCGGTTAACAAATGCATGTAAGTTATGTGTTAGCTTCAATTACAAACATGAATATACAGGCAAGATGATGGAGTGAACGGAAAACGTGAAACCCGGCATGAAACTAACAACTGGAAGCAATAGTTAAAGGCTTTCTTGAGTACTGTTTTGCTGTCAGTGTCAATAAAAAGTTTATTGTTTAGAAGTAAAGGAGAGATAGGGGTTTAGCTCTCACAGTAAGTGTTGGCCGTTGACTCTTAAAGTTGAAGTGTGAGTCTTATGCCCGCTATCACCATTAAGTAATGCCAGAGTATATTTATTGATTTTGAATTAATTTGACAATAAAGATTTTAATTAAACTCCCCAAAAAGCTCTAGTTCGATAATGTTTAATTACTGAACCAATCGAACAACAATGAACTGACTGGGTTTGATTGAGTTTGATTGATTTTTGGTTTGGTTTTGTTCAGTTGGCTACTCCAGGGTTTATTAGAGTGGGGCATCTAATGGAGCGAGCTAGTGAGAGGGTGCTTATTAGATCATTAATTTTATGTTATCTAAGCATAATTATTTCAGGAACAGACAAAGGGGTGACTCCCCTGAGACCTTCACTGGAAAAACAAAAACATACAAGATAAACAGGTCATGATATCATGGGTAGTGTGTTGCCAGTGTATCGGTGAACTGTTGGATGACTATCAGTAAGGTATTCGTCGTGTATCAGTCGACAATCGCTATCGCTATATATAAATCGGCGATCCATCGGCAAAGTACCAGCCAGCTATGGACTGATAGACTGTAGCGGTCAAGTACTAGCCACGTCTCGACCGATATGCAGCCGATACTAGACTGCCACTCGACTGATGCATCGACCGACATTTCAACCAACATTTCTACCAAGGTATCGGCCATTACATTGGCCAAGTGTCGGTGATATGCTGACGATTCCTCAGCAAAGTATCGACCAATAGACTGTAGCGACCGAATATCATATTGAATATAATATTGACCAATTATTGGTCAACTGTCAACCAACATCTTGGCCGAGAGTCGAGCAAGTATTGGCCAACATAGAGGCCGATATATCGATTGACAGTCAACACAGATGTTGGCCGATACATCAATCAAAAGTCCCCCAAAAGATCTCAGGTCAATCGGTCAGCACTGTCAAGTTATGAACAATAGAGCTATTATGGGCTAGTTGTATACTTTGATTCTGGACAAAACCCTCTAAACTTCTTCTAAAAACGCGTCACATATTTGACTAAAATAACATTTCATACATTCTCACAGGTTTGAAAGAAAATAACCTAGAAGAAATGCAGATTACAAGGTTACATCTACAGGCCTAGGCTAGGATGAAGAAAACATTGCGCAACTTAATTTCGTAGTAAGCTAGAGTCCAATGAGACAGGCTTAAAGTTATGGGTCCCTAAAGTTATTCTGCTTCGGTCATATGCAAGATATACTTTAACGGATATACCGTCTGAAATTAAAATCATGCAATCAATGAATCTCATATCTACAAAAATATATCAATCTGTGTTAGCTGGACATTGATCAAAGTTTCACTCCACATTTCACGAAATCCATACCTAAAAATGTACTTACGTAATTATATTAAAAGACGAATCATCTGAAGATTGTTTCTGCACTTTCTCGGCCATTCTTAGTTCCAGAAACTAAGACAAAAGGCGTCTCGAAATACAGTGTAATTTTCGTGGAGTGTTGCTGTTTATCTCTCTCACGCTTGACTCACGCTTGCAGGCTGTCACGTGCTCTTAACCGGAAGTTCCTTGGAGGCTTCCCTGTTGTGTTCAGTCTCTCTCGTCTTGTTGTGACGTAATGATATGGTAGCTTGGCTGAGCGAAGGTTGAAGGAACTTAAACGAACTGCTGTAGTTGTTAGTTTATATTATAGGATTCAACAAAATGAATGTCTTAAGGACTTGTAAACAGCTGTCAAGACTTGGACAAAACACTGTGGGTTTATTTACATTGATTATGTTTATAATTAGTTGAGTGCCATTGCTCAGATCTGCTCGCAAAAGATTTGTGCATGTGCTTGCTTCAATGTGTGGTGTGTTTGAGGTCTTCTGTCCGTGGTATATGTTATATAGGCTTACCGGTGTTGTCATTATGTAGAGATAATATTTTGATTGCATCTTTTTTTCACAGCAGATAATTCAGCAAGGAATAATAAGAACCTTAATACGGCTTCAGTCAACACAAACAGAGACTCAGGTTCGTCACATACTATTGTAGCTTTGCGCATGGTGAAATTCGTAGTACTAGGTTATATTCATTCGACTACTGTTATCAATATTATTCAGCCTATATACTGGCAAGGGATTTATCATTACTATTTTTTCTCTTGTTTTGCAGAACTTGAGGGAGACCCTCTATCGAGTTGTACCGGAAAAACAAAAAGAAGTGGCAGATTTTAGGAAGGAATATGGAGACAGATCTCTGGGGGAGTATACCGTTGACCAGGTACATTTCACACTTCATGTCATTATTGTGACAATTGCATCATCGTTCGCTTTACGATTCTATCACCACTATCTGCTCCGAAAGGTGTAAAACAGTGAAATAATAATTTTTTTATCAATTATTGGAAGCATTGTAAAAATCACTTCACTTTTAAGTGGACCACATCATGTAACAAGTGACAACAGAAAAAGTACGCTGACAACAATGGAACGTTCTAACGATTATTAACTATTTTAACCCAGCTTGGTTATGCTCTGTTATCTCTTACAAACGCATTGTGATGTGGTTGTTATTCATTAGGTAAATCCTGTTGAAAATATGACTTGTTTCTCCTACCATTAACCAAGAACTGAAAAAAAAAAAACGAGTAGTATTTCTAGATGATATGAGACACCTTGTTTTCTGATGAAAATCCCTTAGCTTGGACTGTGGTGAAGTGAAACTTGATCTTTGTTATGGGTTCTGCAGAAGCATGAAAACTTGAATTCAGGTGTCACTTATAAGCCAGTTTATCATAAGTCAAACTTGGCTCCTACTTCCCTAAATCGTAATGCATCTTCTCTGTTTAATAAACTCAACCTTAGAACCTAGTTATTTTTTTAGCAAGAGTTTTTGTAGTTCAAAAACTAGACTATTGTGTACCTAGTATCAAGTCAGCAATAAAGGAAACAAAAAATTACACAGGACCACAAATCCTGTTAAAAAAATACATTTCAAAGTTAATGAATTTAGTTCAACAAGACATTAGCAAAAGAAGGATATTACCATCCTCCCATCATGCATTGTGGTCAAACTATATTATCAAATGGCTGAATCCCAGCGTGACTCATTTCAAAATGTCGCCGTGGAGGCAACACAAGGGCACAAGAGAGAAATGATTCCTTAGAAATCCAGTATAGTTGGAAAACTATATTGATTGTACAAGTTACATGTACATTGTAGCAACAGTTGCCCTCCTCAGCTCTAATTGTTTGCCATTTAAATTTTTTGTTGAGATTGTTTGACCATATGTAAATAAAAGCTTACTGATAAACCTTGGCTACGGGGTCCGCAGTGAAATAAATGTTCAATAATACTTCTTAGAATCTGGCTACATGTTTTTTAGTAAAGTATGCATTGAATGTAGAAAGTATCAAAGAAGCTGGCTACATTAAATGATTAACATGACCAGTGGATATCTTACTCAGGGTTGCCACTGCCAGGGAAAAGTCAGGGAAAAACAAAAATTTTTCAAGGTCAGGGAAAAGTCAGGGAAAATCCTTGATATTGTCAAAGTCAGTGAAAAGTCAGGGAATTCTGTTTTCCAGTTTATAGTTCATAAGTTTTCTTCGACACTTTGAAATGCATTTTCTTTCAGAAAAGATGAAAAGTATGCTGTAAAGCAAGCACAGCAATCAATTTGACACTTTACGCCTGACATACACCTGTATGTAGTAGTTGTGGTCAGTGGTTTTCATTCTGAATGCTTTCTTCCAAATTCCTTCTTCCTCTTACGCGAAAAGCAGAAAGAGGTTGAAAATGAAGAGAAAAATATTGACAGCCTGCAAAATAAGCGAAAGCAAATGTAAACATTGATTGTTTTTCATTAATAAAAGGTCTGTGAAAAGTCGGGGAAAAGTCAAGGAATTTTTAACGTTCTGATGAGTGGCAACCCTGTTACTGAGATGGCCTACACGTATATAACGACATGTACCCCTCTTTCGCATCTTCAAACACTGTTGACCTCCAACTCTACTGTCGTGAAACAGTAACTACAGTCACAGTAATCTGCTGTCTGACTATAAGAAAAAGTAAAAGGATACTATTTAATTGTAAACTTGTTGAAAATATTACCAAGTGCACTCCTGCAACGGAAACTGCAATGCAATGAAATAATAATTAATAAAAAACCAAAAAGTGATTAATTTTTAGAGTTTATTCCATTTATTCTTATTCTGAAATAAATGGGTGCTTAGAATACCTAAAGATTTTGGCTTCTGAAAATGAAAGAGTCATAAAACTCCTTTTGTATTAACATCTGGCTTGTTTTCAAGGTTTATGGAGGAATGAGAGGTATTACAGGCTTGATCACAGAGACATCACACTTAGATCCAAATGAGGTTAGTTCTCAATTAAAGAAACAAACTTACATCTGTACTTTAAAAGAACCTAAGAGGAATCTAAATTAATTTATGTGATGTACTGTTGATGTATAACAACATTGCAAGGTCTGAAGGGCATGTACATGGCAATGATGCCATTTGCTGCCCCCCACCCACCAAAAAAATCTGAATGGGCATCCCATAAAATGTGATGGAAAAAGGGGATAACATCCACGATTTATACGTACGTGTAGATGCAAGTCAAACAGTGTTCTCCTTATCAGGCGGTAACCGGTAAAATTTACCACTTAAAACAACACTTCTTACCGCCTGCAACCACTTGAAGTGTTACTAAAATTAAATAAGTTGCCATAAAGATATTAATCATATGTATAAAGGGTTTAGTTTTATCATTAATTTTGTCTCATGATCGTCACTTCGCTATTGATCGCAACATTTCGACCGCACACTGCAGGTCTTCATCGGGCGAAAGTGTCAATTTACTGGGTTAAACTATCTGTACCACCGTGGTTGTTAATGATTGGTGCGTCAAGAAGGGGAATTGTGTTGACACATTAATCATAAAAGATTCGGAAGGACGCCTTACTACAAATCTTTACAGAAAACGTACACAAACTGATCAGTAACTGTCTTATGACTCACACCATCCTCAATCGGTTAAACGCGGTGTTGTCAAGTGTTTGTACGATTGATTGAAACCTCTGAGGAAAAGAAGCATTTAACTTCTGTCCTTGTCTCCAACTGATACCCCTATTCCTTTATAACTAACATCACAAAATCCAAGAACCGACGGGCCTCTGACAAAGAACCTGCAACCGAAATTAAATCCACAGCAGTTCTGCCATACGTCAAAGGTGTTTCTGAACCACTTCATCGTTGCCTACAACAGCATGGTGTACGATCTGTTTTCAAATCCAATACGATACTAAGATTGCACTTAGTGCGACCTAAGCATCCTGTGGATCCACGAAAACAAGATGGAGTAGTGTATAAGATTCCTTGTGAATGCAGCAAAGTTTATGTTGGCGCAACAGGAAGGTGCATGCATGAACGGATTAAAGAGCACGGCAGGGATATATGGCTTTCACGAACTCAAACTTCAGCCATTTCTGAACACGCAAATAAGACCGGGCATTATCCACTCTAGGACAAAGTTAAGTGTATTGACCGAGACCCTCACTGGTACTCTCGCAGAGTTGATGAGGCTATCCACAGAAGACTTCACCCTAACAATATCAACAGGGACAGTGGGATTGAGATTCCTGAATCATGGATGCCTACACTCAGACAACATGTCAACCGACCTGTACCACAGCGCACCGCGGAGGGATCAGTTTCTTCCTCTCACAATCCCAACAATGCTTTGGATCGAAACCCACCAAGCTTGAGGTTTGTGATGCACCAATCACTAACAACGATGGTGGTAGAAATAGCTCAACTCAGTAAATCGACTCTATCGCGTGATGAAGACCTGCAGTGTGTGGTTGAAACGTCGCGATCAATATCAAAGTGACAATTGTGAGACAAACAATAAAACTAAGCCCTTTATTAAATAACTTGTTTCAAAGAATATGCAAGTTATGACCCAAGCCGATCCTAACAAGAAAAGAAAGTAAATACGGAAAAACAAAAAGTATACACAGCTATTCTCTCAGATTACTGACTAGTTTCTTTCTTTACTGGTCAAGAATGGCCCCTTACCTTCTGAGCTAAAATTATGGGAGAACACTGGTCAAAACTAAAAAATTTCAGCATAAGTAGATGATTTCCTTTGATAATATTGCAATTTTTTGGTTGGCACACATATATCATTAAGTTAGGATGGCTCTTTTTGTGTTGGCAATCCAGCATCTTTGAGGGTGAAAATTACTTGATAACATTGACTTACAGTTGACTAAATTTGTTTAGGGCAGTCTTAGTTGGAAACTTAATTTTCCCTTTTTGTGTGTCTAGGGTATTGAATTCCGAGGTTATACAATTCCCCAGTGCCAAGAAGTAAGTAAAATATTAAACAATAATATTATGGGATAAGGTTTGGCTTGATTTGTCAGTAGGGAGCAGATAAATAAATTAAACAATGCATATTTCATGCACCTCCATGTTTCTTTGCCTGATACAGAATATTCTTAGTTCAGATAACTACCATTTGATTTGGAAACATCCAGTCATTGTACATTTCAATGAGAATTGCTTGTGTCTGTGCAAGCTGGTCATGACAATATTATGTGCCCCAATAGCATAATATGAAATAGGTTATACAAATTCACCTTGATATGTTTGTATTGTGCTAAAAGGAACTAAACATGACCAAAAAAAACTGAAGAATTGTCTTGCTTAAAAAAGAATGGAAGGTAAATGCTAAAGGTGCCCTTGGCAGGTAAAAGTCTGGGTTCAACTTGAAGTGGAATGCATTGTGGGATGCAATGTGGCAGCTTCATGGCTGTATCTATTATTATTGTTTTTAAATGGCCAAACAAAAACAGAAGCAAAGCCCCCCCTGATATTTTTTCTCTTCAGATGAAATTCACAATCGTGATGATCAAAAAATTAGTACAACAACTGCCAAGTGCTGCTTTGGCCAAAAAAAAAACTAGGAACCAAATAATTGGAAAAAATAACAATACATCCAAACAGACAGCCTAAAAGCACATGGAGCAAGTGGAGGGCATGCCATACATGTAAGTGTAAAGGCGAAATGTGTAAGCGAGAAATCAAGGGATAAGAGACCCATGCCTGCATCTCTGTCATGTGTTGATGTTGTAGGAGATTTTCTTGGTAATTGCAATGTCCTCATCTTGTTGTGAGAGGACAAAATGTGAAGGCCTTGCTTTACGGGGTAATGAGCCATGACCAATTATTGTTGTAAAAGTGTCCTCAACCAATGGTTATGATGCTTAATTTTACGTAAAAAAAACATTTAAATTGTAGCATCATTGAAATTTTAGGGAGAAAGGTATGGCTTATCCTTCTGGATTTACAATATAATTATTGTAACTAGTACTGACTGTATTGGATGTTTCGTGTATGTAGCTTTTACCAAAGGCTGAAGGTGGCGAAGAGCCGTTGCCTGAAGGGATTTTCTGGTTACTGATGACTGGTGAAATTCCAACCAAAGCTCAGGTTAGTTGATTTACTTAACTTTACCTTTCCTTGCCACGGCATGGGAAAGCTTTGGTCAAGTTGTCAAAGATAAGTAGATTTTCCTGCCGGCCAAGATACTTTTCATATTCACTGGCCTGATGTCATCCTCGGAGACCCAGGGGCAGATAGTGGGGGCGAGGGAAAGTCTAAACGAGCGGAAAAATATGTCACGAAGAAAAGTAAAGAACGGCGAGAAGAGCCCCTGGGGACAATGTCTTACCAGACCAGTTCCAAACGGTTGCCGCCGTTCTGCACAGCCCTGACAAACAGTGAAATTCTCTTCATGACTGAACTGGTCTGGCCAGGTGGTTTTTATCTATAGCAAGTTTCCTGGTGAACTAGACAAGAAAGTAAAAGCTGCTTGCCCATAGGAAAAGTTGTGATACCATTTAAAATGTGCACTTAATGGATACCTCATTTTCAGGGAATGCTACACTGTATCTACATGTAAAACTGGGCTTGCTGGAGATTTGCTGCATTACACTTCATGTAGCAAGAGAGAAAACAGAACAACAGAACAGAACTAATATGTCAAACGCATGTCAAAAGTTCATTGTGAAATTAGCCCATCAGAAATTTTCATTGAACAGCATAAATTAGCATACTTTATGTAATTCCGACAGTTGTGTCTCATCAAAACTTTAAAACTTCACAGAATCCCTACCTCTCTAATGCTCAGTAATGTGGAAATTGAAGGGGCTGTGTCACGGCACCCACTTCATTTTGTAAAAATTTTGCCAATTACTCACCCTCGGTCGCTATGGAACTTAATGTAAGCAAAGAAATTACATGTAAATGACAAAATCAGAGATCCGAGACAAACAAATACGTCTCCCAAGCATTATTTTTAAAGTTGCAAGCGGCAGGGATCAACTTTGAAAAACTGTTGGGCTGAACACTCAGTTTTCAAAAACCCTTATTTCAATCCAATTCAATCTTCTTCACTTTTGCCCTTCCGTGGAATCTGTTGTTTCTGCTGTGTTATTTTAACCTTCCTTTAATGTTTTAAGCGGTTATTTTTATGTTTCTCTTAATTTAACGGGCATTTTGTAATTACCTAATTTGTCTGAATTTCACAGCTCCTTTAAGCTTTCTCCATTTGGTTCTAAAGTAAATGATGACCATTGTTACCATATACAACAGGAAAAGAAAATTGAAACAAGGGCATAAAATTGACTCGCAACTTTTATTCCTTTTTTTTCACAGGTTGACAATTTGTCGAGAGAGTGGGCAGCCCATGCTGACTTGCCACAACATGTTGTACAAATGTTAAACAACTTTCCAGAAACCATGCACCCAATGAGTCAGTTCAGTGCTGCCATCACAGCCATGAACACAGAGAGCCAATTTGCCAAGGCTTATGCACAGGGAGTGCATAAAGCTAAACACTGGGAGGTAAAATCAGCAATGACTTGCTGTTTAAAGGAATGACTTGCTGACATTGTCATTAATTTTAAAAATTTCTAATATGTGAGGTTTAATAATATTCAGAGTGCAGGAGAAATATTTATCAACTGAACAATCAGTACAGTTTTGTATGCAACTGATGAAAGCCTGGAACAATTTAGGCTTGACAGGATTTGAACCCTGACTTCTGTAGTACCGTTGCAATGAGCAATTTTAATTGTCAGGTTCACCTATTAATGATACACATTTGTCAGAAAAAATCTTACTTGTCGTTTGTTGACACCTTGACACATGGTGTGACATTAAGGATAGTAGGCGGTTATGATCCCACTAGTCTGGAAAGGCCATTGACACTTGGATATAGGACAAAAATGTCAACGTTTAGGGATTGTTTTTACATTGAATTCTCCTGCTCCCATGGTTGATTAGAACTGAAATATAACCCATGTTCTACATTGTATAGACCCATTCCAAAAACAGCAGCTTCGTTAAATATTTTTTGGTTTATGTTAAAATCAGCTTTACTGTATCTTCCCTCTCAGGATCAAAATTCAAAACAGTATAATTCTTTGTCTTAAATGAGGTTAGTGAAGCTAATTTCAACATAAAGAAAAGAGTATAAAACTACCCGCCATTTGTGGAGTGGTTGTATTCCCTTGTCCATGGTTGTTGTTAACTATGACCATCTTTTCTGTTTTCCAGTATACATTTGAGGATGCCATGGAGCTGACAGCCAAAATAACAACCGTTGCAGCCTACATCTATAGGAATGTCTTCAAGGATGGAAAAGTTGCTCCCATAGACCCCAATAAAGACTGGGCAGATAACTTGGCCACTATGCTGGGTTTTGAAGACCCCATGTTTCATGAAATGATGCGACTTTACCTTGTTCTTCATGCTGATCATGAGGGAGGTAACGTCAGTGCACATACCACTCATCTTGTTGGTAGTGCTTTATCAGATCCATATTTGTGTCTTGCTGCTGGAATGAATGGCCTGGCTGGACCACTGCATGGTCTTGCTAATCAGGTAACTACATCATTTTGTAAAACATGCTCTGAGAAAACAGACGATATTATTATTTCGTGATGCCACCACAATGGTTAGGGTCGAGTGAAAATATTTCTACACTTTGGTTTGATTTCCACTGATGCGTTTTTGGCTACACATGTTAACACATGCAAATTTTAATCATGTAAAAATGATAGAGGCAAGATAAAAAGTGCTGAGTTTAAACAGGAAGTTGAGCAAGGTTCAACTTTTACGCCTACAAGCAACCTTTCATGCATTGCCTCCATTTTATTTGCAAACGTAAATTTTACGCACTTACGGAATCTGATGTAAAAATTACACGTCACTGGAAATCGACCCTTAGTCACTTAGTTATAAAACTACACTACCACCCTGTGTTATTCACTCCAATAATTGAGTCGCAAGATTTGTGCTAAAGTCAAAGTTAGACTCGCCTTTGTTGTTGACTTTTTAGATACATTTTCAAAGGGCTAACTCAGTGTTAAAAGCCATTATGAAGTTTTAACAAATTTGCATGCGTTCAGTTAGCATCTATGGCCTACTGCTAACAAAAGAACACACAAACAGACAAACAAACAAACTTTCTCTAACAGCACATCCTTTTTCCACTCTTAAGTCACTTTCTTTTGCTCACAAGCGCACTAGCACTAACCACCGAAAGCAACTGATGAAGGAAACCATCGTAGATTTCCGAAACCAGTTTAACAGTTCTTATAAAGTCTCTAAGGCTACCATTGATTGTTAGAGCCTAAATCCCTTCACTTTAATAACGTTAAAGGAATTATACATAATTAGGGTCTAGTGATAATATTTCTACACTAGTGCAAAAAGGGAATCTGTTTTGCACAGAATATAATTTATGACATTGCACCCTTAAGTTTGCTGCAGAGTCTTTCAGAATTATCTCATTTTTTGCAGTCACTTGCATCTACTTGCTTCATGGAAACACGAGTTTCCATTTTGTTTTCTCTAGGAGTCACAACTGATTAAATGCAAACCATGAATAAACTTCCAAGGTTTTATGTTGTGAAGACCGGTCACTTGAACTACCAAAAAAATTATGCATTAAAACTTTCACTTCCAGTAGCTAGTCTGGATGTTATATGTGTACATTTTAAAAAAATACAAGGGCTTACCTATCATTCTTCTTGCTGCAAACTGTACTGGTACACACATGTATGAAGCCCTCTAAACCTGATACAAAATTTTTATCGTAATGCAGGAAGTTTTAATCTGGATCACAAACATGCTGAAAGAAGTTGGAGAAGACCCAACTGATGAGAGAGTTCGGGAGTTTGTGGAGACAACATTAAAGAGTGGGGTAAGTTTTGAATGTAACAATAAAAGTCCAATAATTTTTTATCACAACATTTGAAACTCCTGATGAATCAAACTTCTACTTTTCAAAGCTGACTCAGTTAGACATACCATAAAATTCCAGAAATAAGCCCCTCCATGTATAAGCCCCTCCAAATATAAGCCCCCCAAACCAGTGACGCAAAAAATCTTCCGTTAAATTGCCCCTCCAAATATAAGCCCCTTGGGGGCTGGTACATGGAAAATTACTCTCAAATACAAAGTAAAACAAAGCAAAAACGGTAAATTTACTTCCAACTATAAAGTTAGCCCAATCGATTTTGAAACGCAAATTTCCCTCCATAGATAAGCCCCTCCAAAAGTAAGCCCCCCAAAAAGGGCCTTTGAAAAATATAAGCCCCGGGGCTTATTTTCAGAATTTTATGGTATGTGAAGCCTATTTACATCATTTTTCATAACATTACAATTATTATTATTATTTTTCATTCAAAATATTTTGCCATTTGTGATTTGCTCCATCATAGCCAACCGGTACTTACCATATTTGGAAGATGTAGGTAATATTCACACTAATTAATAGGTTGTTCCCTGAATGTAAGATAGCAACTTCAATTTCAGGTATTGGCATGGTAGCCTAGATGTTATGCAAGAGTAATCTGAAAAAAGTAAATTAATGTTGGATGTCCGAGGGTAAATTAGCTGAACTTATTGATTAAAAACTGAACTGATGAAATGCAGGAATATGCAAAAATCTTGATAGATGGATGCCATATACATTTTGAGGAGTATCCATATGAAAAAGAAATCTCTCTAAATCCTAAAACTCTGCCGAGCAACTGACAAATGTTTTGAAGAAATTCGGGGAGGAGGTAAGGTTGTTAAGAACATGAAATATTTTGAATGAATAATAAAAGAATTGTGAGTTTGAAGGCTTTTCATCCACCTCAGCCTATAACAACCCCCTTCACATCATAGTCAGCCTCATTCAATAACAGACCATTTTACAGTTGTGGGTTGAGTACCCTAGCCTTCGAGTGAGTGTGAGGCTGAGGTTGAGCTTGTTTAGATACAAACCTCCCTTGTTTTCTAATGGAAATTATGCTTAAAAATCTAGTAAGCATAAGAAAATGATTTACTTAAGAAGGCAGGAAGGGTTTTTATCAAATCAAGGTCAACTCTAGCCTTGTTTCAATCTGTAACTGTAAAATGGGCTATTGTTTAAAGGTTACTAGATAAATTTTTGGTTACTTTAACAGCAAGTTGTACCAGGTTTTGGACATGCTGTTTTGAGGCAGACAGATCCAAGATACACAGCTCAGCGGGTTTTTGCTCTGAAGCATCTACCTGATGACCCCTTGTTCAAACTTTGTGGCCAGCTTCTAAAAATTGTCCCCGATGTTTTATTGGAGCAAGGAAAAGCCAAGAACCCATGGCCAAATGTTGACGCACACAGTGGCGTGTTATTGCAGGTAAATACCGCATTTGTACATTGACCTTTCAACACTAGAATATTATATCTAAACATAACATTTCAGGCATATCCTGGTGTTGTTGCACACAAGGGCATGCTGATGCAGGTTAATAACAGGAAAATATCCGAAAATAACAAGTTGATCACCTGCAAAAACACTAACCAGCTCATATCGAGGGAACACTTAAAGAAAACTAATAATTTTATGTCTACTAAAGGAAAAGATGTGAAATGTGCATGTAAGTGCTTAGTTATACAGTTAATGAACCGTTATAGCGTGCGTACAAACAAAAACCTCTGAAAATAGTTTTTATAATTTTTTTTCTATTACACGTTGCTGGCAACCTGTTTACAATGAGTTGTATTGTACAGAATTATCTTGCTGCTGTACAAGAATAAAACTGCATTTCTTTCAATAACAACCAGTTGCCTAGGGAAGCCAAGAAGCGTCCTTCATTTTACTTGCACTCCGTGGTCTACGTCTCCAACACTTTCCTAAGGGGAAAAGAAGTGTCAGAGATGTACACCAGGGAGCGGAAGTAACATTTTTAATAATAATGATAATAATAATAATAATAATAATAATAATAATTATTATTATTATTATTATTATTATTATTATTATATTATAATAATTATTATTATAATAATAATTATTATTATTATTAAATTTTAATAATAACAAAATAATCTTTATTACAAAACCTCAATTAAAATCCTATTTACAATCAACCTGCTGTTACAAAAAATCTAATTAATTCATCAAAAACACTATCTACAATTCCATCCGTTACAAAAGAAACCCCTCGTCCTTCATTAGAGAACAAAAACAATCCTATATATTATAAGTGAAGATAGAAAAAACTATTCATTTACAAATTCTAAAAAATAGAAGTAACTTAACCTTACATAAAAGAAGAGGAAATAGATATAATTAATAATAAAAGTTCAAAATTCTATAAAATTAAGAATTCCATTATGCAGAGATATTAAGATCCTGCAATCGAATTATACTAATGACGGCTAAACCAGTGTCCATAAAAAGCCCTAAGTATAAAAGCATATAGACACGTATTTCAGATATCCGCACTAGCGACATTTATTTTACAGTCTAATGATTGCTCTAGCTTGCTACGAAACGGCGTTCGCGAACCTCTGACGCATGCATGTACCGATCTTAAGAGTTCAAACGAGATCTGTGTCCTGAGCCAAGTGATTACAACATGATAAGGCTCGGTGTCTTTCTGAGCTATCTTGTCTGCGAGATGCTTTAAGAACCGCTGACACTCGTTTCCCATTCCGCCATTGGTTCCAAACACTAAAGGCGTAAACGAACCCATTTCTACATCTAACACCCACTGTTGGTACTTGCGCTTCTTCTCTTCTTCTTGCTCTTTGAACACTTCCGATGTTGGCTTGCTCTGGTAACACTTGGAGTTGACGTGCGTAACTCTAACATCAAAAAATGCCGTAACTCCTCTTGCCCAGAAACCTCCCGCTTTGATGTCCAACCTTGCCTCAGAACTTGTAACAGCGCTCCTCAAATGAAATCGCTCGTTGTCCAGGGGTTAAAGGCGTGGTTCGATTTCGACATTATTGCAGATCTTGTCGATTATTATTATTATTAATAATATTATTATTAGTTAAACAGTTGAAAGAAACTTTTGAATTTTAGAGGCTGACAGTTTTTTTTTATTGAAATGAAATGTTTTTAATTCGAATAAATATTTCTTAGTTAAATTAACTCTTTCTGAGCTAAATTAAGTGCTTTTTAAATCGACAGGAATTGTAAATAGCGTTTTGAATGAATAGTTTTTTCTTTTTTTCAAGCGAATTTATTGTAAATAGGATTTTAATAGTTAGCATTGTTGTCAATAAAATTTTTTCATTTTATAAAAAAATTATTATTATTATTTGAGGCAGTTGATCATGATTTGGGTCAAAGAAGAGCGTTAGCATTGTGGGCAGGTGTCATTGAAGTATCTTTTTAATTTATTTGTTTGTTTGGTGTTTCAGTTCTATGGCTTAAAGGAGATGAATTATTACACAGTACTGTTTGGTGTTTCACGGGCGCTTGGTGTTTTAGCTTCATTGGTGTGGTCACGTGCGCTGGGCTTCCCAATCGAACGCCCAAAGAGTATGACAACAGAATTAATGAAAGCAGCAGTTGGGGCTAAATAACTGACAAATACTTCAGCAAAATAATAAGGGTAGAACTTTTTTTACTTACGAGAACTAGCGAACTTCTTGAAACAAGATCTGTGTGGTTTTTGAATGCACTTTTTGTCAGTCATGTCTGGTCAACTTAATCATCTATTTGTAACTATCTTTTTGCCCATAATAAGGACTATTTATCAACTAGAAATTTTGAAAACGAATTGCACCTTGCTTAAGTATTTTTAGCTATTTAGTCAATAGAAAGACTGCAAGAAAATGACTACTTTTTCAATAAATATTGGTGTGTTATTACTACTGAGGGCCGACAAGGCCTGTCGATGGAATATGCAGTTTGTACTCAATGTGCAATACTTGTTTTAATGTTGATTAAACCTCTGTTTATGTGCTTAGCGCTTTGTCCATAAAATATGTTTATCATTTAACCTCTGGTTTATTGAACTTTGTTGTCTGATGTCGATGATACACGGCGATTGGTATGAATATAAATGTAGCCTCAACTAGAACAAGTATTTAATAAATAGAGGATGCTGTATTACATGACCGCAAAAAAAAGATCGATATTCGCAATTTCTCTTCGAATCTCGTATTCAATTTCAGTTAACGACAGCAGTCAGGGTGGGGGGTGGGGGCACACTACTCATAGTGTGGTATGGTATTCTGGTACTACCCCAGTGATGCGATTAAACTTGCCAGTAACGCCCAGTAGGTATACTCTATATGCTGCGGTCCTTAAATAAATAGTTACTTGGCCTGCGAATACTTCCATCGTTGGTTCTCTCCACCCAAAAAATCACTTTGAATGGCTGATACCTGTTCGGTAAGCTCCATCCTTATCATATTGCGTCATAATTCCGATCTCTCGATGTAAATTCCGTAAAACTGTTTTTTCCACTGCTTTCTTCCACCCGTCACGTACATGCTATTCTGATACTCTTTCCGGTTCTCACTCAGACTAAAGCGTAGGAAGGAAAGTAGCCAGGGGGGGTCACTCAACAAAGTTTTTTTACGCCGCTCCTCTCCGAGGTGTAACCCCTTACCCTTTTATATACCATTTTTGACTTCGTGTGTCTTCCATTGACAAAAGGTACGCCTTTATATACCAAGTTTAGAACTTTACATCCATTTAAACTGCTGTAAATGCGCTGTCTTTGAAATTTATGAATGAATTACAAACCAGAACGTTTTCTCAATCAATCAATCAAATCAATCAATTTTATTTAAGCTCGATACCGTGAGGAGTGGTTGCCCAATCTCCCGAGCCAGGGGCTCATGTATTAAACGCTCGAGCATTCCGGATCGAATTCGAATTTAGAAATGTTGGTTTTTGCGGAGAGGGGAAAACCGGAGTACCCGGAGAAAAACCTCTCGGAGTAGAGAAGAGAACCAACAGCAAACTCAACCCACATATGACGTCGAGTCCGGGAATCGAACCCGGGCCACATTGGTGGAAGGGGAGTGCTCTCACCACTGCGCCATCCCTGCTCCCCTTCCGGGCTTTTTTACAGGCCGAAATGACATATTTCTCTGCCCTTTCAAGTACGAAATCCCTAGTTTCATTTACCTGAATCCTCAAAAAGGTACCACTTTAAGGCTAAGCCTCCCTGTATAGGCCATTATAGGGAGTGCCCCTCCCCCGGAATGTACCTGGGGCGCAGGCTTTTTTTTCAGGTCTGACCCTCATTTTAACATTAAAACCCTAACCCTAACCCTAACCTAACCCACTTTAACATTTTTATAATCCTATGATAAGAACAGTGTTTTCTTTGCAATGAGAGAAAAATGGCAAGTTTTCTGACAATTTGATCAGCACGGATTGAACCATAACAAGTCGAACAGACTGGGTGGCAAGCGTTTTCAATCTAGCTACTGAGTATTGACGTTGCGCACGGTTCAATTTGACCTTTAACCATGCCCCCTCCCGGGCATAACCCCGGGGATTTACGTGAGCTCCTGATTGACCTCATTATGTCTTCGGAGCTTTTTATGAGTACATCTTTTTGAAAGCATTATTGATAATACATGTCATAATGTAGTTATGATTAATAAGTTTGAAAACGAAAAAGGAAGAAAAAGCTCCGACAAATTCCTGCGTTTTCCCTTCAAAATACGTAGTCGTGAAGTCCGCAGCCATTTGTGCAAACCGCGCGAGAAATGACACGTACTTGCACGTACTTCTCAAAATCAAAGAAAAGATATTTTCATTGATTTGCCTCACCCATTTTATATCCCCGCGAAAGAACTGCTTCAAACAATTTCTCACTCCCGGGACCAAAGGGCTGAATTTGTCCCGGGGTTTGCCCGGGGCTAGGGGGAATGGTAACAGCCAAATTGAACCATGCATATCATCACACTTCAAGTTATTTGCTGGTGACACCCTCCTGTATGCAGTAATACACAGCCAAGCTGATGCACTAAGTTTACAGAGTGCCAGAGTCTGGCAAATGAATTTCCATACCCATATGTGCTATGTGTTGCGTATTCATCGATCGAAAAACCCGATTGCCATCAATATACCATGCTAAACCAGATTCTAGAAGTGGTGGACCACCAGGAATACCTAGGGATTACCGTCACTGAACGGCTCTTAATTGGAAAACGCACATTTTAAACGTGAAGAGCAAAGCCAATAAGACACTAGGATTCATCAAAAGAAATCTTCACTCTTGTCCTGGTTAGACCCACATTAGAATATGCTTGTGCATCATGGGACCCCTACAGAAAATACCAAATAGAGTGCTTGAGCATAGGACTTACTCAAGAGAGGAGAGGGCTGTGTCTCCCAAGCATTAAACTATTTATACTGGCCAACATTACAGCACAAGGAGGCAAATAGCGCAAAGCAAGACTATGCATGCTCTACAAAACACTTAACAACGAAGCAGAAACTACTGTTCCTACCTATGTCCAGCACAAGCAACTCCAACGTGCCCGCTAGCCTGCGTAGCAGGCGCTAGGAAGTTAATGGGCGCAAGAAAAAACGCGCGCGCGAGAAGGAGACGCCTGTTCAGTTTCTTGCGCCCACTTAAGCGCCTGCTACGCAGGCTACGTACCCGCCACTCCCATCCACTCCAAGCAACATGTGATGCGTACAAGTTCAGTTTTTGGCCGAGAACGATTATCTGATGTTCACGACATTACATCTGTTTCATCGGTAGAAACCTCGATTCACGGGCTAAAATGTTAGGTGATCACCCGTCACAGTGAATATATCATTCACAAATCATGACTGTATTTCATGAATTTTACCGATTCACGCTCTGTCACACGGGTCAATTCAAGGATAACGCGAATCCCCCTCCAGACCCTGTCAGTCCTGATCGGCGAAAGCCTGGATTTTAGATTTTACTTTTTTACACAGCAGTTTAAGGCCTCACTAGAACAGTTTTATATTTTTCCTGTCAGAAGTGTTTGCATGTGGACATTAGACTGTACATTCGAACTCAATGAGCTCTTGGCTCCGCTCTGAGAGTGAGTAAACTGACTACTGTTATTTTTCATAATGTTTATTTATTTATTTATATTTATTTTTTTAACTTGTCACTTGCGAAAAGATCTTCAAACTTCAACTTTATTTAATAAAAATACTGATTATAATAGACTGGCCCGCAAAATAGCAATTGCTAATCTAGACGGACCAGTTAAAAGGAATATAAAGTGAAAGTAAAGAAAAGGAAGGAAACTGTTTGAAGTTACCATAAGTTAACTAACAAGTTAACTAACTACAGTCGAACCTCTCGGTACGGGCACCTCTCTATTACGGATAGTTTCCTATGTACCGACAAAATTCTCATACATTTCCTCTAAAAAAACCCTCTATAATACGGACCCTCTATCTAGCTCTAATACGGACAACATCTTGGCCGTTTGGAGCAAATTCATACAAACTTAACCTCTTAATATTACGGACACTCCGGGACAAGGTGTCGATAATTTGCGGTATATGTACCATTTCCTGTCGGCAGTTACACAAACATTGACACTTTATCTGTCAGCGATACCAATACCAGAACATGTCTTAGGCGAAGTATTTCGTTTTGTTCCAAAATTCGTATGTACAGCATGTAACTGAGAAGTACAATAAGATTAATCAATTTAGATTCAGAAATTAACAAGACACTGAGTTTTGGGCTTGATTTTACTTACTGAACACTGGGGTCTTAAAAGTGACGTAATCATAGTGACCTCTCTAATACGGACACTTCGCTCTGTCCCTTCGGTGTCCGTATTAGAGAGGTTCGGCTGTATGTTGCAAACTCTCTTCATATCTTCGCCGAAAGCATATTGGTTTTGCTAAACTTATTCCAATTATGAGAATTTTAAATGCCTCTTATCTATTAAATGTTCCTTCTTGGACCCCTAAAATTAAAATCCGCAAAAGTAACGCTCCGGGGGTCACAGTTTCATCGGACTATCTGGTGTATTCTGTCACGCAATCCCTATATCGCAGAATTGCGTTACTGAGCTATCTTTTTTAGGAAGTCTTGCTTAAAAGTCTAAAGGAACGTATTATGGAGCTGAAGGACCTGTAGCTATTTTAGGCCCGTTTTGCTGTCCTTGACAGCCGTGCATCCTGTCAAAAGCCATTTTTTATACCACGAAACTTCAAGATCGAGGAAAGGCTCGGCCCCCGGGGGGGGGGCACTTTAGGAATTTCTGGGTTCTGGGAGCCTGGAACCCTTAACCTTTACCAGAGCTAGTTCAGCTGAATTTTGCTACCCTATACTAGAGTAAACTCCCCAAATCCCCCTATCCTAGAGTAGCTTTGTACCTAGTCTAGATAAAATCTTCAACAACTGATCAGTTTCCTGAAGAATGATACCCTATTCTAGACCCAAACTCTCGGATTTATATACCCTATCCTAGAGTAAACTGCTTGAAAACCATACCCTTCACAGCGGCACATACCTACATAGCCCATATATGGCAGTACCCCCCCCCCGCCCGGGGCTCGGCCGGCGGCACGGTGACACAACTGTCACACAGGGGAGCCAAAGTGTTTACATGTAATGGCGCGATTTTACGCGAACAGCCAATCAGTAGCAAGGATTCCACAGCCTCGCCCGACTGCTCAATTGAAATCAAACACAGGCCTGGGAATTATGATCTTCTGCGTTACCTTGCTTGCCAGGCGTTTCTTCTGATCTACTGAAAATGGCTGAAACTCAATACAAACCTCCTGGACTGGAAGCGTGGGATGTGGTGATAGTCGTCCTGTACTTTATTGTTATTCTTGGCGTTGGATTATACGTGAGTAGCTCATGACATTTTGTAAATAATTCAGCTGAGCGAGAAATAACCTGCTTGGCTTGTTTTTCTTTCTGTTTTGAAAATAGAGTGGGAAATCGCTGGCTATTGAGCGCGTACATAATTATATTAAAACACATGTACCTAGCAAAAGTGCTTGTTTGGAGTGCGGAGGTTCTCATCTCGTGCCGATTGTTGTTGAGGTTTTATATATGAAAGGCAGTTAGCTCTTGCACGATGGTTTTACAACAAGTGCAAACTGCATTCTTGTAGGGAAACGAAGTAAATAATTTT